GCTTGGAGAAGGAGAAATAAATTCACTGCCAGGCAGGCCTCCAGCATTCCTGAACGGCGAAGGGGAAGGGCTGGAGCTTCATGGCTTTGAACGTCTGAACATGGTTGAGAAAAAGAGCTATGCGGAAAATCTTGAGGGGAGGTTGTGGGCTTCCCCCGCGAGACCCTGTTGGCCAGGAAGGAGCAGAGGCCTTTCCCCACATCTGATGCCCCAACAGGAAGCGAAAATGTGTGAGTCAAGGACTAAAGATAGGAACTGTCTTACTTTCACTAGCCCTTCATCCAGTGTCCATCCCTTCCCAAAAGGAAACAAGAGACATTGTCACTGGCCATCCACAAAAGATCAACTGTGAGTCAAAAGTTCGGCATTAATCCCCCGCTGGAGAGCCAGAGAGGACCTGACCCCTATTTGCTGTTGTTTTCCCGTGTCTTCAGGCATTGGGAACCACGGAGGAGGTGATTGTGGTCTCCAAATGTTGACAAAAATGTCAACTTTCAGCAGAGAGTTAAGTTTACGCAGAGGTCCAATCTGTTCGTGTCTGGTTGAACGTGGGCCTTTGGATGTTGACCGGGTTGGTTGCTAAGAGGAGCAACAGCTTGGCATGGCAATACAGGACACTTGATTTCATTGTCCCAATCAATTTGTTGATCTATAAGGAGGCGTTTGGAGTTTGGCAATCCCAAACAGTGCTAATTGTGTTGTGCTAATTACGTAGAGGTTGCATCCTGCCTTCCCGGACAATAGACCTATTTGTAGAACAATTAAGAAGACACAGGGCCCTTTTCTTTCTGAATCCTAGCTGGCAGTGGATACCTACAGATGCTTTAGCTATTCCTAAAATGGAGCCGCTGATTTGAATCGCGGGGGCCATGCAGGAGACCTCTGAGTATCTTCTGTCTCCAGAGGAAATGGTTCTCAGATGCCAAATGGGAAGGAAATGGTTGGACATCCTCTTCTCTATGCGAGTCGAAAGATATCAAAAAATGCTGTTTCGGATTTGACTGTTGTGAGAGTCAAACACAGGAAACGGGTTTTCCATGGAGATAGATTAATTGCAGCCATCTGGTACTTATACACATCAGGCTTTGGACTTTCCCAGACCTTACCTGGAGATGTGGAGGGGCCATCTGTTAGTAAGTGGGTGCTAATGCACAGATCTAGTATTCCTCTGTCTTCTTTTTCCTTTTGAACACATACACACTCTATTTCCAGTGCTTTGCCTTCTCCTCTATACAATCCTGGTGTCAGCTGTTTCTCAAGGAGCCCCATGGAGAAACAACTTGCTGTTGACGTCTCCAGGGGTATCTGTAGGGCAGGGGTCTCCAGTCTTGGCAACTTTAAGACTTGTGGACTTCAACTCCCAGAATTCCTCAGCTGGCTGAGGAATTCTGGGACTTGTAGTCCACAAAGTTGCCAAGATTGGAGACCCCTGCTGTAGGGGGTCTGTTTGGAAGGTCCAAAAGTCACGATAATGGCTGTAACGATTAGGTTTTGGGGCTCTGGATGACCCTGGGTGCAAGAAGCAAGAGAAAGAGAAGAGGCCTCATCTCTTTGTCACATGAAAAAAAGAGACGGGGCTTCAATTACTATGTAATCATGGCTTCCATCAAGCCATATTGACTTGGTTGACCTTCCTAGCAGACATCTCCTTTTTAGCTCTTGGACTTTCCACAGTTTTGGAGAAGATGGTTCTAAGATGGTTGGACATCCATGTTTCCTGAACTAGCGGGCATCCTTAAGCCAACATGGATTTCACTCACCTGAGCAACTTCTATTTTGTGGGGGAGGGGACCAGATGGGCCCAAAAACAGGAAACTGAAATGGATGTTTCTCATATGGAGTGGAGTCAGGACTCCCCTTTAATAAGGGAAGAGTTCGGAAGACTCTCTGCCCCTTGGGAGGCGACCCAGCTCTCTGATCCTGCAGCTGTAGGAGATTATGAGCATGTTTAGCCCGGAGGAGAGAAGACTTCAAGAAAACACCATCGTTGTCTGTCACTGAGAAGATGAGGCCGACTTTGGAGTTGCTCCAGAAAAGAAGCCAATAAGAGCAAAGCTTTGGTGATCAAATCTTTGAAATTATTGAAGTTGAACTTTGAGTGATGCCTCCAGATTTGATCTGGCAGGAGTTGTCTCACTAGAGTTAATCACTAGAGGTTGTAAATTGTTTTGGGAACCCTTGAGGTCTTACAGAATCCAGAAGAAAAGGGGCAGGAGACAGGGATCCGGAGAGTTGCAAACCCAATATATTTCTGGAAGGCAGCCTGGTGGGGAAAGAGATTTGAGTTGGGAAGCTGGGCTGTTCAGCAGGCAAATCACAGTTGCATGCAAGCATCCCCTTATAAGGAAGAATGGCCTGAGACACAAAAAGCTTGTTTGATTCGGTTGCTGAGAGAACAGGGGGGAGGGGAGGACCTTCCTGCGCAAATCATCCCGTTAGTGTTTTAGCTGATCGCACACCCATGGCAGGGAAATCTGTGTCGAAATGCACACGGCTTGAAGCTTGTTGAGTTGGGAATGGAGGGTGGGGGTGGGGGGAGAGCATATAATTTAAGGACAAATACTTTTTTCAAGTCCCCTGCATCTCCCTTTTTGCTCTGGGTTCAAAGAACTAATCATGACATCAAAACTCTGCTAAGGAGCTTCTTTGTTCTGTTTCTGGATCCTTCCTGGTTTAATTCCACCTCCTGTCTATCGTTGGACCTAGTATTTCAATCCCTTGGGATGTAGAACGACAGTCCAAGCATCTTTGAGTAGAGGAGGTCAGGAAGAAGTTTAGTCTAGAAGATCACCTGGTTCACCCTTCCTGGTGGACCGGGGACTTCTGAAGGCCATAGCGTGTGGATAATGTAACGGTCAGGAGAGTTTGATCCTTGGTATCTAAGATGTGACTGCAGGCTAGTCGCTATTTCTCCACCCGAAGAGAAAAGAGAAGAGGAAACTCGTAGATGCAACACCCAACGTGTGAGAAGCTTGGTCCCTCTCCATCCTTCCTCCAGGGACCAGATGGGGTTAAGAGGAAGCCCTCCATGGCTCTTCAGCCTTGTCATCCATCTCTCTGCTCCTGGCTGGCTGGCTGGCTGTTTAGACTTGCTGTCTGTCTTGAGTAAACTTCAAACCTCTTTTAACATGTCCTCTGGCTGATCTCCCCACAGCCTTCCTGGAAGGAGAAACGACAGGGTTGTCATCATCCCTCCAGGAAAAAGCAGATTTGGCTACTGCAGAGGGCTTCAAAGTTGGCAGCTTTAAGACTTGTGGACTTCAACTCCCAGAATTCTCCAGCCAGCAGAGCCAGCATAGCTAGCATAGCTGGCTGGAGAATTCTGGGAGTTGAAGTCCACAAGTCTTAAAGCTGCCAACTTTGAAGACCTCTGGGCTACTGCTTCCCTTCTCTCTCCCCTTTCCCCCTCCTCCCCCTTCTTCTTCCCACATGTGAACGTTGTTCTAGGATTGGCGCCATCACGCTAAAGCATTTGTGTGGAGGCCTGGTGTGTTTGGGATGGAGGACACATGAGTTGAATCACAGCTTGGTCTCGCTTGGTTGTGGTTTCTGCTGACTAGTAGCAGATCTGGGGAAGGTTTCACAAGCTCTGAACAGATGGCGCGTAGAGGTCTCCGTGACATACGGACTGCACAGTTTAAAGACAAGCATGAAGTACGAAGCAAACGCATCTCGGAGCCCACCGTTGTGTTTTGTGCTCTCGTCATTTCTCGCTTTCCTCTGATGTGTTTGCCAATCTTGAAGGAACTCTTCTCCCAGTATTTGCACCATCCTTCTCTTGCCTGGTCCCTGTCAGGTGCATTTCTCAGAAGGACCATAGTGACTTATGACCAGATTTCTGATCCTAATGGCAGGGAGATGTAAGTCAAGGATTACCTGTATATCTGTCGGCAGGACTGTGTCTGCAGACTTTGGAGCGTTGGGTTGGTGATCGAAGAAAGTTGCAAAAGGGAAGACATTTGGAGAGAGTAAGTTTTGTGTGTGCGTGTATCTTGGCAAGAAGGTGTGAGTCACGGAGATGACTTTTCGGATGGAAACCACAGTAGAGAAAGTCGGATGTATAACCTCTTCTTGGCTCAGTCGTCTTCCTGGGATACTTTTAGCCTCAGTCAATGTTGTGTCTTGTCTCTTATTTTTTTCGGATGCTGCTTCCCAGAAAGAGGTAGCTGCCAATTTTAAAACCGGTATTTAAAATTATGATGTTAAGAATAGCAGGAGGTGAGCCGGGTTTAGTTGGCTTTTTTTAAAGTTTTAATTTGCAGGGTTTGGAAAGCTGGGCTTTTAGGGGCGTGACGTAGCTGAGAGGTTTGATGGGGCCAAACGGTGAAAGGTGAAGCAAAGTTTTGTCTTTTCGAACTTGGAATGGAAACGGGGGACAGGTTTCACCTTAAATTGTCCTAAAAAGGGAATTTGGGGTGTGAAATTTTGGGAAATGTGACCCCAATAAACTTATAGAGGATCCAGTTGTAGAAAAGCTTGACAAATATCTCTGTTTATATCTCTCTGGGTTTGAGAGAGCACATTGAATGTTAGAAAGGAAAATATTGAAAACAAAACCATTACAATATTCCCAAAGTGATTCCGTCATATTTGAGAAAGCCAATTTGTAGGAACCGCAGATAGTCCTTAACCTATGACCACAATTAGGACTGGAAAGATGGTTGTAAAGTGATGGTTGCCATTAAGGGAGACATTGCATGTCTGCGAATTGTGACCTTCCCCATTGATTTTGCTTGACGTAAGCTGGCTGGGAAGTCACTAATGATGACCCCAGGGATGGTGCAACCGTCGTAAATGTGAGCCGGTTGCTGAGCTCCAAATCACAATCAAGGAACTGTGGGGTTGTAAGTTTGAGAACTGGTTGTAAGTCACATTTTTCAGCGCTGTTGTCATTTACAACGGTGGCTAAATGATTGACCATATTTTGAGGACTACTTGTAAGGGTTGTCATTCCATGGTTTCTCTTCTTACTTGCTCGTTGTTCTCCACTTATTTTCCAGCCCACCACTTTGCCACAAGGAACCATCAACATGAATCAGTGTACAGACGTTGTGGATGGAGAGAATCGAACCGGGCAGAAATTCTCACTGTGCATCCTGACACCCGAGAAGGAGCACTTCATCCGAGCTGAGAACAAGGAAATCATAAGTGGGTGAGCGAAGGGTTGGGGTTCAGGAACGAGTGGGTGGCTGCATGTGAGAACTCTTCAGAATGGAGCACCAGGAAGTTCTGGAGAGTAGTCAGAGTCGGGTTGCTCCTGAGGCCGTCAAGAACGGGTTGATTCTTCATCTAACCATCGTTGAGGATCCACCTTCTTATGGACTTCCAAGTTGCACGGGGAAGGTACATGGTATGTTACTCAGATGTGGGTTCAAAGAGTGTCTGGACATAGGTGTTGAGGCTTAGTGGCTCTCCCTCAGAAAAGAAGAGGTAGGAGATCAGATGCTTCAACTGAGAGTCATCATCATTGGCTATATGTGTGAGCTGAATGAGGTTCTGCCTTAGATTGGTCTGCCCACAGCCCCATGTCAAGGATTCTGGGTCCTTAACCCCCCTCATGCCCCAGATGATCCAGATCACCTAGACGGGAGGCCAGCAAGTTGCAGAAAGTGGCCTTCCTAGTCAGCATGGACAACCTTCTGCTTGTGGACATCAAAACAATGTCTCACCTCCTCCCAGTTGTTACAGTGAACCACAGGAGAACCATTTGGAGAATCCCTCTCATAGGCAAGGATGTGGTTAGCATTATCCACAGTCCAAAAATGTGGGTGTTCCCACTCAAAAGGACTCTATCCAACCTGCTTGCAAACTCAAAACCTCTACCTCGTTTTGGTGGTGACACAGGAGGTGAGGCTGACATGTTCGCATGGTTCTTGCAATCGTGTGGCCGCCTTCTTGTTCTCCTCCTTTGGCTTGGAAGTTGGTCTCATCTTCTTCCTGGCTGTCCTCAAAAGTCCATTTCCTCTGGGACCTTCTTTCTAAGATTTCCCGTAGAGCAACTGAAATTTCTGAGAGAAAATTGGCATATTTCCTTCCTTCCTTCCTTCCTTCCTTCCTTCCTTCCTTCCTTCCTTCCTTCCTTCCTTCCTTCCTTCCTCCCTCCCTCCCTCCCTCCCTCCCTCCCTCCCTCCTCCTCCTCCTCCTCCTCCTCCTCCTCCTCCTCTTTCTTCTTTCTTTTTTCTTCTTTCTTCTTCTCCTGTTGAGCTACAATATGTCCTGGAGTTGAAAAGTAGGTAGTATCAAGCGGTTAGGAGGGTTTAATAAGGAGATCCCAACTGCCCTGATCACCCATTTCTGGGCAAGTAGAGCAAAATAATTCTTTGATCTGCTTACTAGCCAATTTTGGTTGGTCTCAGAAATCTAACAAGGTGATTAGCATTTAGAAGGAAGATAATTAGACATTTAGGAGACGCGGGGTAGACATGGAGGTCCCTAAAAGGTCTGTGAAGGTAGCCAGGGCAAACACCAGTGTGTGAGTGTGTGTGTGAATTCATCAGGAGTTGCACAATGTTCAAAGGAAGTTACCTTTGTGTATCCCAGCCCTTGATCTCCAGAAAAGTGTAAGGCAGAAGCACGCTGCCTTTGCTAAGCTAAAATTGGAGCCCAACTTCAGATCACTGTTTTTCTGTTTAAAGAGACGAGGAGATTTGGATTAATCTCCCTTGGCAGAGCTTTGGTTTTCGTAAATAAACAAACAGTTCACAAATAGATCCTGCCAACCTCAAGGGTGCCCAGCCCACCCCCCCGGCTGACATCATCAGGAAGCTGCAGATTATTCTTAGTTTTCTAGCGTGACTTTGAATCTGACCCATGTTAGCTTAGAAGCAAAACTCAGATGAATGTCTCAGAGGTGGGAGACTATGGAGTCAAGGTGGCTGTGACAAGGCAAAGAGGAAACCCTGTGCCTAGTCTCAGGCCCAGACACGAAGATCTAAAGGAGATTGTGGTGGGGTGGCACTGCCACTCTCTAATTTATGTTGTGCTTGCTGCTAAAAACCTGTAAATCCTGAAAGGGATAGACGCAAGACGCAATGGAAGTACAAACACACACCGAGCCCCAGCGACAAGAGAGATGGGCAAGTGTTGAGCTGAATCTAACCTGCTCAACAAGATCGGCTGGTTCTCTGATGGGTTGCTTTGCCACCTCTTGGCAATTGGGTCCCGTCCCCTCCTTGGAGAGTTGTTTGCCTGCTGAGCCCATGATTGAGTTCACTGTGATCCGAAGAAGACCTGGGATTGTTCAGAGGCATAAACAATAGCACAGCTGACATTGTTTTGGGGGGATGTATTAGGTCGCAGCTGGGGTGATGGGTGGCTTGCTGACCTCAGGAAGATAAGGGCTCAAGGGCTGGTGCTCGCTTGCGGCTTTGGGAATGTCTTTGGAGCTTGTTGAACAAGATTAGCAATAATAATGGCACTTAGACTTATATACCGCTTCGTAGTGCTTTTCAGCCCTCTCTAAGTAATTTACAGAGACAATGTGGGACCTCATTTTACCAACGTTGGACAGATGGAAGCCTGAGTTAATCTTGAACCGGTCAGGATCGAACTGCTGGCAGTTGGTAGTCAGTAGAATTAGCCTGCAATACCGCATTCCGACCACTGCACCACCGCAGCTCTTAGGACAGTCTGAGCTGCTTTTCTGACAAGCTTTGGACTCTTGCTTTTGTAGACATAGGACGCTGGAGCTGGTTCTGGCATCTTGAAGGAGTTGGTAGAGTCACAAGTTCATTTCGGAGAGCTGTGAGAAAAAAGAGTTGAGGAAGTTCTGTAGCTCCTTGGGAAAATACCATTCAGATGATGGGTGGGGAGGAATTCAGATCTAGGGAGCTATTGGTTTGTCCCACCCAGTTGTGATACATGTGAGCTGCATGGGAATTGTGCAAAGGTCAGCCAACTGGCAACACCCCCCCCCCATTTCATCTTTTGCTCTACTTGCTCTCCTCCAAATGAGCAGGAAGCATTGAGGTGAAGATCCTTGGAGAAGGAGGACAACCAGAATTGACTTTATCTTTCCTAGAGTGTCTGTCTTCTTTTCCTCTTCTTTCCATGTTGTCTCTCGCTTGTGTTGGGATCTATTTCTTCAAGGTGTCCCATTTTGTGTGTGTGTGTTTAAAGGGGGAGGGGAGCCTCCGTCAGTTGAGGAAGGGGGAGCTGTTGCTCACTTTGTCTGGCTGTCCCTCTTTCGCCATCCCCGTTGATTCAGTGGGGGCAATTCTCAACTTGCCTTCTTGCCTTCAGGTGGTTGGAGATGCTGGTAGTCTACCCAAGGACGAACAAGCAGAATCAAAAGAAGAAAAGGAAAGTGGAGCCCCCAACGCCACAGGTAAAAATAGGAGCACACCTGGCCTGCTTCTGATCCACCTCATGCCTAAAATTAGAACATTTTCCCCACCACTGGTTTATAAGAATGCGGCCTTCCTCCTTTTCAAGTTTATCTTCTCTCAATGGAATTTTAAAAAACCTCACTCGGTTTATGCGTAGCTTTTAGAAGCTTTTCTGCTTCCTCTCCCTACTTTGATGGGTTTCATTTATTTCGAAATATAAATCAACACAGGATACCCGAAGATGCTTTTCCAAAAGGCAACTGGCCTTTGTTTTTCCTTGAAGACATTGAGGGTCAGAACTGAAGAAGCTTCTCGGATGAGAAGTGAAACATCCTCAAAAGGCCAGTTGCCTTTTGAAAAAGCACCTTTGGGACAACCAGAACCTGGATGACTGAGAATCTCCACAGACATTCAATCCAGAAGAGTTTGCTAGATGATTGTCAATAACCGTCACACAGAAGCACATCTCCTAAATCAGGGGTGTCAAACTCAAGGCCCGTGGGCCAGATGCGGCCTGCGGGGTGCTTAGATACGGCCTGTGAGGCCGTCCTGGAAACAGCAAAAGTCCGAGTGCTCTGCCAGCAAAAATGGACTCCCAAGTTCCGTTTTCAGCTAGGACGACCTCTTGCATCCCTCTGCCAGCAAAAATGGAGCTTGCGAGGGCTGCGTGCAGCTCCCCTGAGTACCGTTTTCACTGGCAGAAGGCTGCAGGAGGCCGTCGCAGCCAAAAATTTGAGCTCGGGAGGGCTGTGCACAGCCCTCTTGAGCTCCGTTTTCGCTGGCAGAGGGATGCAGGAGGCCGTCCCAGCTGAAAACGGAGCTCAGGAGCCCATTTTCGCTGGCAGAGTGCTCAGGCCACAGGTGCCAAGAGTGACGTCAAGCTGGCCACCCCCATCCCGGCCCTGCGAGGTAAAACACAACCCTGATGCGGCCCTCAATGAAATCGAGTTTGACACCCCTGTCCTAAATGATGGATGGGACAATTTACAATTCCGTATTCGAAGCTGCAGGCAAGAAAAGATGCCTGATCACGGACATGGCGTTACATGGCCTCACGCTCTGATTTTTCCTACCAGAGATGGCCCTTGGAGATAAGACCGAGATGTGGTAGATGAGATGGAGGCTGAATGTGTCCTCTGGGGAATCTAGTGACAGCTTATTTCTAGCCCTCTTTTGACTATAAATGGTAAAACACACACATACATACACGCAGGCACAGAATCTAGGGTATGACTCATTCTTTCCTGCGCAAATGTCCTACATGGAAATTGTTCAGGAGAATCTTGGAGGGTTAAAGACCTCAACCAGCTCTCTTAGTTGCTGGTCCCAGATATATGGGATGATGTTTAGATCAAGGTACTCATCCTGAACCATTTAATGAACATTATCTGCTCCATGTGATGGAAGTTGTCCAGATATTTCCTTGTCAAACTAAAAGGGTTGAGTGTTCTTTTTGATGAATAAATCCGTGGTTTCTCCCAAGCTTCTGTTGTGTAACCTTGAGGCATAACCAGTTGACCCAACATGGTAGGGAATGGTATGCCTTGGGAGTTTGATTTGGAGGTCTCTCGGGATGGTTGTGGGAACAGCCCATCATACAGAGAAAATTTGGAGATTGTGTGTGTGCTTGACTGCTCTCTGGCTGAATATTTCTTCGCCTTAAGTAACTTTTAATCTGCATTGTGAGATCCTGAATGGGCTGCTTATACCATCAAATGGAGAATTCGATTGAGGAATTGCCACAAGTCTCATGACCCAACTAGGCAACATCATCACTGGGCGAGGTTTGCCAACACTCTCTTCTAGCTCTGATGATGCTACCTAGTTGGGTCGTGAAACTTCTGCAAGAAAACCACCAAGCTTATAGAGCACCTAGAACCCCACATTTAATTCAATATTGTATTTAACATACTTAGCATTTATTGAATACAACGTCCCAAATTTGTTGGAATAGCATCGGTCCACAGCAACATTGTTTTTAGCAAAAAGCATGCAATGGAATCTGTGAGTAGGGTTGTAGCTTGGGTGTGTAAGTGTCCTGAGGTCCTTCATGGGGGGGGGGGGTGAGAGATAGAGAGGGTTCCCCAAAATTCAGTCTAGGTAGCAGTCCCTCCCCCTTGCCTGTTTCTCTGTGACTGAACGCCAGTAAGCGTTTTAGAGAATTTGGCTCATCTGAACCAACCCACACAAGCGTAGAGTAAGAAGCAAAGCAGTCTTAGATGGGGTGAGTCCCTCCTCCAGAGCTCTTCCTATTTTAGTCTCCCCTCCCCCGTTTTTTTCAATTTTTGGAAGCAGAACAGAAAAGAGGAGGAAAAAAATGTTGGCAGAATATTATCTCTCTCTCTTTTGGGGTTATGCTTGGTTGCCTCAGCAACCTCTTGGAAAGTTGACAGGATCTGAGCTCCTAAGCACCAAATAAGGGTAGTAGGGTTGGGGTGGGGGAGAGACACACCGAAAAGAGGGTCTTTTCTCCCCCCCAATGGACCGCCTCCGGAGATGGAGGTGAGTCTCAGGGAGGCAGAACACGGCAGAACCACGTGATCTCGAGGAGTTTTGTGGAACAGCAGGAGATGGAGCACGCCTGCTGGGTGCCTCAGGGAAAAATCTTGGAGAAGGTCTACGTTACTTCCAAAAAAGGAATGTTAGGGGGGGAAAAGGAAGCTTGTGCTAGTAATCTTGACTCCAGTTTCTGCTCTCAGCTCTTTGTGTTATATTTTTTTCTAAGGGAGGGCAAAAGGGATCCGGGAGGGTTGGAAGAGGTTGAATTGAGTTGCACCTGGAGGAGAACCTTCTCTTCAAGCATTCGATGTTCTTCTTGGAGAGCTGGTCAACGTGACCTCCAAAGGCCACCTTAGATGGGATACAACTCTTCCTCTGTCACCCTCCAATGAGGAAGTGATCCCCTCTGCTCGATCTTTCTCGCCACTCCAATAAAAGTGGGAAGGGGAACTGGTATTTAGATCCTACTTCTTCTATAGGTAGGCCTCAACATACAAAGGAGCAGTGGTTTGCTGTGGGTGCAGCTTTGCCAAAAACCGGAAGGAAGCGCCCATTTTCAGCAAAACTGCCTGAAGTTCACTCATTTGATTTTTCTTGAGCTGCAACTCGGCTTCCTTTGTGTTGGGCTTGAAATGACAACCTTGAGAGTGTTATCGCCCGCTCTTTGTGAAGACTACGTTTCCAGAAGACTATCGGAATAAAAAAATAACAAATTTGGAAGGGACCTTGGAGGCCTTCCAGTCCAACCCCCAATTCAAACAGCCCCTATACCATTCACTACAAACTGTCCACTTGTCACCAGTCAACTTGAAGTCTCCAAGCCTCAGTCCCCGTCTTGTTATCTAAATTGTAGCCTTACTCCAGTCATCATCTAGCAGGATAGCTCTGGCCATCCTACCAGAGGTGGGTTTCAGCAGGTTCTGACCAGTTCTGGAGAACCGGTAGCGGAAAGTTTGAGTAGTTCGGAGAACCAGTAGTAAAAATTCTGACTGGCCCCGCCCCCATCTATTCTCTGCCTCCCGAGTCCCAGCTGATCAGGAGGAAATGGGGATTTTGCAGTATCCTTCCCCTGCCACGCCCACCAAGCCAAGCCACGCCCACAGAACGGTAGTAAAAAAAATTTTGAATCCCACCACTGCATCCTACCGATACATGGTTGCTCCAGATGGGCTACCAATTCTCAGGAGGAGGAGAAAGGAAGGGGAGAAATTATTGTTGAGGGAAAGATGGGAAGTGTCAGCTGGGGAATTCTGGGAATTGAAGTCCAGGTATCTTAACATTGCCAAGTTGGAAAAAATACTGATTTAGGAAGAAGGGGGCGTTGTTTGGGTTTTGCACCCAAACTAATTTGAATTGCAAACCCTTCTTGGAAACCGGCTTCCGGGCTGGGTGCAGAGTGGCGTATTTAAATTTGAAAACATTTGCGCCTTCGTTGCAATGCACCCAAGTGCCCGAGGCATCTGCAGGATGAATTGAAAGCCACTTTTCAAACAGTCCGACGGGTATCGGGTTTGGAGACGATGCTAACTGTGGGAGTAGCTGGAGATCTTGGCGCCAAAATGGTAAAAACCGGGGCCGTAGTGCTGAACGGTGTAAAAAGAGAACCTGGGGAGGCACATTGTTACTGTGAGAGTTTTGTTTTGCGTCGCTGCTCAGAATAATGCAACTCTCTGCATTCCTTCCCTCGTTTAGGCACAGTTCCTAAGGTTGTGGCGGCCTTTATAGTCCTCAACTTACAACCATTTGTTTAGTGACCATTCAAAGTTAAAATGCAATTGAAAAAAGTGACTTACAACCAGCTATCACACTTGTTGTGTCACCTCCACAATCACGCCATCAAGATTTGGGTGCTTGGCAACCCAGATTTATTTATGATGGTTGCAGAGTCCCAGGGTGATGTGATCGCCATTTGCAACCTTCCCGTCGGCTTCCGACATGCAAAGTCAATGGGGGAAGTTGGATTCACTTAGCGACCCTGTGATTCAGTTAACAACTGAAGTGTTTTGCATGGTTAACAACCATGGGAAAAAAGTCATAAAATCAGGCGTTAGACTCACTTATCACTTGCCTTGCTTAGCAGCTGAAATTCGGGCCCCAGTTATAGCCGTAAATCAAGGTCCACCTACTCAATAACGCTCATAGTGACGGGAAGTCTAGATTTAACAGCTACGCAACATGGCTTATAACTTAGGGCAGAGGTATGCAGGGAGAGCATGAATGTTGTGTGATTCATCTGAGCTGGTATGAGACATAAAACACGAACCATTACAACTGGGGTTGCCCACCACTTTCTTCTCCCTCCAGGAGCCTGGTCCAGCGAAGATGGCCGTGACCAGTAGCAGCATCCCCGGGGCTGAGAAAATCCCCACCACCAAGTCCACCCTTTGGCAAGAAGAACTGAGAAGCAAAGACCAGTTGGATGGGAATGTGGGCATCGGCTCGGCCCCTGGCGCTCTGCCAGGGCAGGCACCCCCAACGTGTTCCATGAAGGACTCAGTCCTGGAGAGGAAAGAAGGTAAGAGCGGAGTCCTGAACGTTAGTCAAATCAACCGGGTAGAAGATCTGGGATCCACTATGTTCTTAATTTTGGTCATCGGAGCTTTTATCTCTGTTGTCTGGAGCCCTGGGCTCCAGAAGATAAGAAGATAAGTTCCTTCTTCTTCTGAGGCTTCCTGGTGTCCTCATTCCAGGGTTATGACTGAAGGGAACTGGGGTCCTTGCCAGAAAACAAGATAAGACAAGTTACGGACCAGCTCGGTTGTGAAAACAGCAACCTTGAGAAGCTGGTGGGACTTAACTCGGGTGGCTTCAGGGGCATCCAAAGAACAGGACATTCTCAACAACAATTTCGGAGCAACATTGACCTTTGTACTGCAAGAATTCAAAGAGTTGTTGTAGGAAACGCAGGGCTTCTCATGAGGATCTCGCCACACTTAGGACGGAAGCTGGATTCCCTGAGGGTAGAATTTGAACCTCGGTATTTTATTTACTAGAGGTGTTTCTGAATCTTGAATATTTTTCCCTACCTGCAAATACTTGCCCGGGAATAAACTGTGGCCTTTCTAGATTTGTCATGTCTTGGTGGATCTTCTAAGGCAATGTTTTTCAACCTTGACAGCTTGAAGGAATTAGGAAGATGCCCTCATCCCCATGCCCCAAGTGAGGGAGGCCAGTTAATAGAATAGCAGAGTTGGAAGGAACCTTGGAGTTCCAACCCCCAGCTCAAGCAGGAGACCCTAGGCCAGGGGTCTCCAGAATTCTGGGAGTTGAAGTCCACTAAGGTTGGAGACCCCTGCCCTAGACCATTCTATACAAGTGACTGTTCAGTCTCTTCTTAAAAAACCTCCAGTGATGGAGGCCCCACAACTTCTGGTAGCAACTTGTTCCTCTGATTAATTGCTCTCATTGTCAGGAAGTTTCTCCTTAGTTCCAGGTTGCTTCTCTCCTTGATTAGTTGCTATCCGTTGCTGCTTGTCCTACCCTCAGGTGCTTTGGAGAATAGCTTGTCTCCCTCTTCTTTGTGGTAGCCCCTCAAATATTGGAAGATTGCTATCATGTCACTCCTGGTCCTTCTTTTCATTAGTCTATCCATGCCCAATTCCCACAATCATTCTTCTCTCTTCTTCTTCTTCTTTCTCAACCTCTTCCTCTCTTCTCTTCCATGCTTTCCTCGTCTTCCAGAGGAGGCTGCCATGAACGGTGACCGCAACGACTGCGGGCGGAAGACACGGGTAGAAAGTGGCTACTTTTCTTTGGAGAAGACCAAACAGGAGGTCAAGGCAGAGGAGCACCAGATGCCGAACCTGCCGTCCCCCCCGAGCCCCTGCACGCCCAACCACAGGTACGGTGACCCCAAATCTCAGCAGCCGAGCGATTCCTTTCCTTCTTCAGGTACCTGGCCGGCCGGCCGAATGGTGCACAGTTTCTCTCTCAATTCCCTGGACGTCCGAGGCTCCCGGCTCTCCAAGCACAAGGACTCCGCCGGCCGCAACGGGGCGAGGACGGAGGATAGACGCAATGGCCCCTTTGCCTTTAAAGTCAGCCGCAAATACTCCACGCTGGCCGATGTGCCCAAGGCGATTCGCATCAGTAACCGCGATGCTTTTCAAGTCGAGCGGAAACGGCTCGAGCGGAGTTCCCGGGCGAGGAGTCCCGGACGAGAAGAGGTAGCTCGGCTGTTCGGGAATGAGAGGAGGTAAGACCCGAATCTGGGTGTCGCTTTTCGGCTGACGGAGGATAAAAACCGTCTTTTGGAAGGGAGGTTTTGCCCAAAGAGATTTGACGGCTGATTGATTGGGTTTTGAAGCCTCCTACAGATAGTCCTCGACTTACCACCACAATTGAGCCCAAAATTTTGGTTGCTAAGCAGGATGGTTGTTAAGTGAGTTTTGACCCATTTTACGGCCTTTCTTGCCCCAGTTGGTAAGTGAATCACTGCAGTTGTTCAGTTAGTCACACGGTTGTTAAACGAATCTGGTTTCTCCCAATGACTTCGCTTGTCAGAAAGTCGCAAAAGGGATCACATGATCCCAGGACACAACCGTCATAAGTGTGAGTCAGTTGCCAAGGGTCTGAATTTTGATCATGTGACTATGAGAACCCTGCAATGATCATGTGAAAAATGACCATAAGTCACTTTTTTCAGTGCCGTTGTAACTTTGAATGGTCCCTAAACAATCTGTTGTAAGTCGAGGACTATCTGCATTTGTCTCGCTGGGTTGCCAAAATGGGTGGATCAAACGATACATCAGGATGTTGCCTGTCCGTCAACGAAACAATGGCCAAAGCAGCAGCAATATTTTCTGGATGACAGGATGGGGCCTGAAAATGGGTTACATGCCGTCCTCGTTTAGTGACCACAATTGGGACCGGCAACTCAGTTGTTAAATGAAACAGTTGCTAAGTGAAGTTGTCTTCCTTTTTACTATCTTCCTTCAGCTTTCCTTTGCTTTACACATATGCAAAGGTTTGCAAAAGCAAGGTTGCAAAGTGATTTTTTTCCCATTGGTCGCTAAATGAGGACAGTCTGTACTGCGTCAGAAGCACTCGTGATGAAGAAGGGAAAAAGAATGTTTTAAATCTTTGCCGACCTAGAAAAATATTTTTGCAGAAGTTGTGCAAGCATACATTCAGAATTTGGCCATGAAATGTGAATCATGTTTGTTTCCTTAATTTTTTTTTTGAAGACTAAGTTTCTAGCCCTCATGGGAGGGAAACAGGAGCATGCACAGACAGGACCTCCGACAGGACTGTGGCCCAGAAGGTCAAATCTGAAAGCTTAGCATGGCTTGTGCTTCGGCCCGCTTTTCTTCGTGGTCTTAAGCAGCTTGCACAAAATGCAGGCGCATTTGCTCCTTTGCAAGCTTGCGTGGAGGACAGGAAATGTTTGCTGAGCACTTGAGTTCAAACCATCCAATAAGTGGTTTTATTGCCTTAATAAGAACCCCAATCCCCCCTCCATCTCTTTTGGGGACCAAAGGATCCAGTTTTTGCCATACGGAAATGTTTTGACGTTCTCTAGCAAGCAGCCGTACGAAAACAGTCCGGTGGAAAAAAGAAAGCGAGGCACAGACACCTATTCAGGAGAGAAGCCACATAGGGCAAAGTTTATTTCCTTATTTATAAAATTTATATCCCGCCCATCTTGTATCCAATGAGTCTGGGCGGCTGACAACAGAAAAAAAACCTTAGGGAAAAAAAAAACATTTAAAATCATCCATCATAAAAACACAGTGGATAAAATCATTAACAAAAAAATCATTTTTTGCGCACGCACAAAAAAAAACCCACTAACAACTGGGTCCAAAAGCAAACTTAAAATGCTTTATTCTGTTTGCCCAGTTTAGCCATTTTTAAATTTTATCCTGGGTGTCTTCAATTCGTCAACTTATTGAGGAATAGCTGAAGGGCAAGTAATACTGGATGATTATTAACAAAATATTCAACAGGGAATAAAACAGAATTCTGTCACAGGTGTTCAGATCTTTCCCTCGGTCGCTAAAAGCCCAGCTTCGTTATTCTGACCCGGTCCTGCTTTCTAAAACACAACGGGCTGCTACCACAGGTATTCGTTATAGGCTTGCCTTCATGAGGCCTAGAAACTTGCTGTAGGAAGGAAGCTAAACCATGCACTTTTTGAGATAATAGGTGCCAGGCACCAGATGCGAGGAATTCCCTTCAGACGTTCTGTTGTATATTCATAGGAATTCGTAAGACGTTTCTCAGAAAAGGAGGAAGAATCTGCAGATTGGAGGGTTGTGAGCATATGGCCTCCCGAGAGATAAAAGGGAATTTTTCTCCAGTTGCTTTCTAAACCTCCACCAGATCTTGCTTGCTCGTAGCAGACGTCTCTCACACCAGCTGAAGAACAATTCTTGTTCTTTTTTCCAGAATTGGCTAGCAAGAAACCCAAAAAATGGGTTATAAAAGAGAATCCGCCCCTCACCAGCTAATCTTCAGAGGTTCTTGATGGTTGATGAAGCTTATTTGTAACCTCCAGGTGGCTTCAGACACACCTTTTTCCCCCCTGCTTGCATAAATACACCCCCTGCTATTAAACGAACATTTTCCTGCCTTTCTGCCAATCTCCATCCGTTGCTGTGGGCTGCTTTAGTAACTTATTTCTCTGACTGCTTCATTAACATTCTTGTCCATCCTTGAGTGGAGTTGGCCGTTTGGGAACAAAGCGAGCTCTGTAACCAACATTGGCATGTCTGGGTCTTCCTATATCCTAGATTCAGAAGGGCACCTGATGTCCAAGTTGAAATAGAATACAGAATACCAGAGTTGGAAGGGATCTTGGGAGGTCTTCTAGTCCAACCCCCTCCGCAGCGCTGGCTGGGGGATTCTGGGAGTTGAAGTCCACCCATCTTCAAGCTACCAAGGTTGAGAAACACTGCCCTAGACCATTTCAGACAAATCCACCCCTTGAGACCATCCTAGCCTCCATTTTTTAAATTCCTATGAATGATATTCACAAAATCCAACTGATGGGGGGACTTCATATTCTTTCCTGTCACTCTCGTTCTCTGGTCCTGTTCCCTTTCAATCTACCAGTTTATTCCAGGCCACCAAGGATTAAATGGGACCGAAAACTGCAGTTTTCCAACTGTGTTTTAAAGGCCGGAGAAACAGACCTTTTAAGCAATTTAATAACGGTGCCTTGCCCAGGACTATTAATAGCAAAGAGGTTTTGCAAAAGTCGGCCCCCTGATTGAAGAGATGTTAGATTATCTGGAGTCACAGCTTAGTTTTGCTACCTTGGTCTCACGTGAGCCGAAATGCATCCTGTGTCTCAGCTTCTATTGCAGAGTTAAAGTCTTGGAAGCTTGGAAAAGTCTACATTTTTATACAGCTAGTTCTTGATTTACGACCGCTGTTGGCTCCCCAATTTCCATTGCTAAGCAAGACGGTTTTTAAGAGAGCCGTGCCTGATTTTTACAACCTTGTTGGTTTTTAAGTCAACCACTGCAGTTGTTAAATGAATCATATGGTCATGAAGCAAACCCAGCTCCCCTCATTGTCTTCGCCTGTCGGAAACGGCTAGAGAAGGTCGCAAATGGTGATCGCATGATCCCTGGACCCTAGTCGTAAGTTTCGGGACTCATTCTAAGTGGCTTTTTTCAGTGACGTTGTAACTTTGAATGATATCTAAACAAATGGTTATAAATCGAGGATTATCTGCATCAGTCTTTCTTAGTTTTCTCCCCCGGTCAAAAACCATACCAGCTGGATTCAAAAAGGTTAGGGAAAATGGTTCTGTGTTTCAGTAGAAAAAAGAACAGGAGGATACTATATATATATATATATATATATATTCATGAATGCTACTATTTCTTTTTAAGCCCTTGGCCGAGATTCCCAGTCGTACACAGTCCACATCGGCTTTGAAATCCCACCACTTGTGTATACTGTAAACATGTGTGTCTCCCTTGAGCAGTTGCTCAAGACTTGTGCCCTGTGAAATATTTAGAAATATTTGGTTTTTAGTTTGAAGTATAGATCAGCTATGATGCTGGAGATGTACTGGACGTATTTACATTTACGTGTGAGGGTTTCGTAAAACACACGTCCCTGGGAAAAGCATTTTTATGATGAAGCTGGGAATTCCTTTAACCGTTTCCTAGCCAAGTCCTCAAAACGTTGGTAGGGATTTGTGTCTGTTAAACTAGGTTGAATCCCGTTTAAGTGGGAGCAAATCCCAGATTCCCCAGGATGAGAAAGATTAGACCGAAAGGATAGCTCACGGCAGCTGTGCCCATCCCTGTTGATGCCCCAAAACATTTCTTGGGTTTCTAATTCTGGGACATAAAAACACCCAATTGTTCATTTAATTTCACTCTTCAATAGAATTGTCCTCCAAAATAAGATTCCTGCATTGTCATATCCTTGGAGAGAAGTTACAGGTTTTGTGGAAGAGTTTGCCTAACATTGTTTAATTTATTAATTCACCTGTAGCATTTTGCACATTTGTGCACCAATCAAACAATCTTGAAACCCCAAATACAGCTAGTCCTCACTTAATAATTACTTAGTAAACAGTTAGAAATTACAACAGACCCCTCAAAAGCTACTTATGACCCGGTTCCAGATTTCCAATGACTCCACACCCTCCTGTGGCCACATGACCTCATTTTGGGTGCTTGGCAACTGGCTCACCTTTACAGGTGAGGGGTCCAGCCATGTGGGTGCCTCAACTAATGACCATCATGACTTAACGATGGAAATTCTGGGCTCCATGGCAGTCATAAGTCAAGGAGCCTGTATCTGTGTGGAGAGTTCAACCGTTACAGCTGAGCATAGAACTGGACTAATAATTTCAACATGCCTCTAGTTCTCATTGAGCGGTACAAGTAATTTTCAATTTAATCAACCGTTCAAAGTTACAACTGCTGCAGAAAATGTTGTAAGATTGGACATGGTCATGTGGTGACCCTCTTAATGACCGGCATGACTTAAAATGGAAATTCCAGGCTCAATTACAGTTGTAAGTCGAGAATTACCTACATATATATGTTTTACAACATATATATATGTTGTAAAAATTTTCCTTTCTAGCCTTATGGTCACACACAGAGAACGGGTGTGTTGAAAATACAAAACCAGACGGAGAAATTCCATCAGTAAGATTTTACGTAACTCCTGGTCCCCACATACTTCCACCACTGAAACTAAAGCATGCTATTAACAAACATATTTTATTTTCTTTTTTTCATTTGTGGTAATTCAGTCTTTGTTTATTTATTCATGCATTCCATTCATTCATTCATTATTCATCAAATTTATACGGCTGCCCGTCTCATGAAAAAATAACTCTGGGTGGCACTGAACAGTTCTCGCTGAATGGAGTTTGCATAAATAAAAGCCCTTTGATCTCCTGTTGATTTTCCAATCTCATTTCCATCTTCCTGCTTCGTAACAGATCAAAGAAAGGAAACATTGACTATGGAAAGCAAATTGTTTTTAATGTTGTTTTTTTCCTTTCCGGTTCTTAACCCTTCCTTTCACTGAGCTACCTTGATCATTTTAGAGGAAGGGTATCTAACCTGGGAAACTTTAAGACTGGTGGACTTCAACTCCCAGAATTCCCTAGCCAGCATGGAAGTCTGGGAGTTGAAGTCCACAAGTCTTACATTTTTAGAGCACGGTTCACTGATGCAGACTAACCTCAAAGAGAAACAACAGCATCTTATCACTTCCACCTACCCAACTAGGTGCTTTGCTTCCAAACTAAAGTTGTATCTTCCTGAAATGGAGGGTGGGGTTCAGATTCAGCATCCAGAAATGGTGTCCACTCCCACAAAAAAAATCTGTTATTGGAAACCCTTACAGTTGCAAAGTAGAAGAGACAAAGGCTTCTAGGGTTTTCCAACCACCAGCCCAGGGAGATGGGGACTTCTTCCAAGCTGACTCCCCAATTTTTGTTGGCAGAGACATGTTAGGAAAGCAACTGGAATGGCAGGGAACCAGTTAGCTAAATTTTAGCTCCACAGTTATCAATTAGGAATGACTCCATAAAAGTTCTTTGGAAGTTTGTGGACCGTGATTGGCAGTGCACCCCAGGTTTCATCTCTCCTTACAGGGTTAAAATTGGGGGTTTCTGGATTTCCCATCTGGGTCTTGATGGTGTTGAAACCTACCAGGCCAGATAGAAAAAGGGGTGAAGTCCTCCTTGCCTTCTTGCCTCCAGAGGTTATGGGTGCTCCATCCCTGGAGGTTTTGAGGAAAAGATTGGACAGCCGTTTGTCTGAGATGGTATAGAGTCTCCTGTTTGAGCTGGGGGTGGTGGACTAGATGACCTCCAAGGCCCCCTTCCAACTCTGTTATTCTTATCACCATCCTTTTCTTGATACCTGGAATAACCGCTCACAGCGGGAATCACAATCTGCCGTTTCCAATGATCGCTTCTATTAACGGTGTGGATGATTTTGCACTTTGGTTTTGGTCTCCTTTTGTAATGCCTCTGATTTGGGGGGGGCAGGGGTGGGAAGGGCAAGGGGAGGAAGGGAAGATAACTTTTTTGTTCATTCATTGTCCAGCTTTTATTTTCTTGCAGGTCTTCTGTTCTTCACCTCCCTCTGCTGTGTGATAACTTGTGCTCCGCTGCTTCGCTCCCATCTCATCTCAAAAAAAAAAAAAAAAAAATCTCAAGCTGTAGAAAACTTGATGGTGCCTTTCCCTTTCATGACAATCAAGCTGTGCTTTTTATTTATTTTATTTTTTGTGGGGGGTGGGTGGGCTGGGGAGGTTGGCTTGGAAAGAAAGCGGACCCGTGGGCTGAGCCAGGTGGAAAACGGTGGCCGAGAATTTTCTCTTCCCCAAAGGGAAGCCAAGATGGGTCTTGGCAAGGAAGCCAAATGATGGCCAGTGGTTTTAAAATTATGGCAAGGGTTCAAGGGCAGAGGACTTGGGCAGGGGTCCCCGAAGGGTGTTTTAATGATGATGATGATGATGATGATGGTTTTGCCTTCTCTGGTCAAGGGCCATGGGCGCTGGGGGCTCTCACTGCCAGAGGCATCTTGGTGGGGGGATGCTTAGTGCTTTTCCTGTCTGCATGTGGCATGCGGTGATTCAGATTCTGCCTTGAAGGGAAGCTGCGCCCAGCCTCCAGGGTTTGGAAGAAGCTTGTAGTTCAACAGGTTTAGCTTTATTAGACAGCCGTGTGAAAATGAAGAGAGTACCTTCCCAATCCAGATTCTCTTAAACTGATGGTTTCTTATACATACTGCGGCACAGATGCCGTTCCCCATGCTAAATGTAACTTTTATTTTATTATTTTATTAATGTTACTTTACGTTACTTCACTTCACAGTTTTACTTAACTTCATTTTATTATTTTACTTCTCTTCATTTTATTATTTTATTTTATTACTATGCTGCCCTTCTTCCCCACAAGGTGACTCTGGGTGGCTTGATAGAATTTAAACCAGTAGAGGAAGTCCTCATTTTACCACAGACCTCTCCAAGGGCTACTTAAGACCTGGATTTGAGCTTCCAATGGGATTTTTAAAATGCCCTTCTCCGTTCTGGGGATGCAGAGCTTGAAATCAATTTGGTTTTAGCTCTTTTCTTTCTCTTCCATGTTTAAAGTCCAGGTGGACCAACGTTGACATTGGCTCATAGATAAACCAAGCCTATGTACGACTTCGTTAAGCAGTTTTTCTAAATATTAAAGTGTAACTCTTGACTTGTGAAGCTTAGCACTGAATTATTTTCATTAAGTAGCTGCTCTGTAATGGGATTCATGCCATATATTCACAGAATAGATAATAGATTTGAACTTTTTGCCTTAAATCTGCAAGAAAACTCAAAAGAGATCATCCCATTGACCCCATTTTCTGGGGAAATTTTTGATGATGTGATCCCTGTGCTTCACCGGAAGATCACACTGTCACACAATTGTGCCTTTAAAAGGAGAAGAAAAAATGACACATTTGCAAGCTTTAAAAATTCAAATGCTCCATGCTTCCTGCTGAATGAAATGGGCTGGTTCCAATTTTTGGGTAATGTGTTCGTAAATTGGACCAATGCTTCATGCTTTCAGATCCCTTCTAGGTTGCTAATTTATATTTATAATTACATGATACTTTCTTGGGGTTTTTTTTCTCCCCATCCAATGAGTCTGTGCAATAGGACAGGATAGAAATATAACAAAGGAAAGCATCATTAGGTCAATATTTTGAATATGTTGTCTGGATAAGAGGGAGGGCTGAAATTGTTCTGACTTTCAAGGATGGCCTCTCTTTCTCTTTTGTTAAAATGCCCGTCCCTTCTCTCTTCCTTGTCTCTCAGGAGGTCTCAAGTAATTGAAAAATTTGAAGCATTGGATATTGAGAATCCGGAACACATGGAAATCAATGCTTCCTCCGGTCTCTCCAGTGAAACCCGGCAGGGCAGGAGCGAAAAAAGAGTTTTCCCTAGGAAACGGGTGAGTCAGCAGCAATTTCATGTTCTTGGTATGAAGGGTGAGATTTATAGTGCTTCTCAACCTTTGCAATTTTAAGAGGCATGGACTTCAAATTCCAGAATTCCCCAGCCAGTGGGACAATGACCGTGGCAATCTATCACTATGAATTCCTTGGAGAATTCCTGTCCAGAATAAGAATGTAACTGGTGTCCTTGAAGTATGAGAGATCAGAGATGACCCCTTGAGCTTCTCTTCATTATTAATCAAAATTACAGTTCTGAATTCGATGACCGTGAAACATTCATACTTCCTGCAGGATTTGCTTGCTGAAACAGCGAGTGGGACCATCCTGGATGTGTCAACTTCTACTATGTCTCCACATCGGAGAGCGAAATCGCTGGACAGAAGGTCTACAGAATCCTCCATGACTGTAAGTTCAACAATTTGGAAGTCTTGAATAACAGAGTTGGAAGGGACCTTGGAGGTCTTCTAGTCCAATGCCCAACTCAGGCAGGAAGCCCTATACAATTTCAGACAAATGGTTGTCCAGTCTCTTCTTAAAAACCTCCAATGTTGGAGCATCCACAACTTCTGGAGGCAAGTCGTTTCACTGCTCTAATCGTCAGGAAATTTCTCCCTAGTTCTAGGTTGGATCTCTCCTTGGTTAGTTTCCATACGTTGCTTCTTCTCCTTCATTCAGGTGCTTTGGAGAATAGGTCCACCCCCACTTCTTTGTGGCAGCCCCTGAAATACTGTATTTTTCAGAGTATGAGAGGCACCTTCCCCCCCCCCAAAAGAGGGTGAAAATCTAGGTGCGTCTTATACTCTGAATGTAGCCCTGCCCAGCTTCTCAAACGGAGGTTTCAGAGGCTGAAAAAAGCATCAGAAATGAAGCTTCAGAAGAGAAGCCCCCAAACAGAGCTTCAGAAAAGAGGCTTTTTTTCTGAAGCTCTGTTTCGGAGGCTTTCAGAGGCAGAAAAAAAAGCAAGGCACAGAGCTCACAACCAAGGAACCTGTTGCTAAAATTCACCTCTGGGAACAGCTGATTGGGGGTATTCTGGGAGGCCCATCAACCTGCCAATCAGCTTTTTTCTTATTTTCCTCCCCAAAAACTAAGGTGCGTCTTATACTCCGGTGCTCCGAAAAATACGGTACTGGAATACTACTATCATGGCACCCCTGGTCCTTCCTTTCGTTGAATTAAACATACCCAGTTCCAGCAACCATTCTTTATATGTATTAGTCTTCAGTTATGAGTTGACTACCTTGAGTAAAAGATAGTCCCATTCTTGAAGGAAAGTTGCGTTCAAAGAAGGGAGCTGAATTCTTCAGGAAAAACAGTTATTTCTTTTCTACCATATATTATATGTAAACTTAGTTGAGATCAGGGCAAGAATACTAAATTCTCTTCTGTCCTTTGTAGCCAGATTTGCTGAACTTCAAAAAGGGATGGCTGACAAAACAGGATGAAGATGGGCAGGTAGGTTTTGGGGTGCTGTTTTCCTGGGTGAACCACAGTAGATGGGGTTGTATCTTGGAGATAGTAAACCTTGGAAACCGATCTAAATACTCAAATTTGGAGCTATTTCTGCCTAGATTGGATGCAGACCTTCTCTCAGCGTAATGTTGGCAGAATTCTGCCCAGTATAATGATCACATCCACACACCTACCACTCCCTATTTCTCGTAAGAAACCAGTTTTCCCATCTTAGGAAGGAAAAATGTCTATAAAATGGCTTGTCTTGTTTTTTGTTTTGTAGTGGAAGAAGCACTGGTTTGTGCTGACAGATCAGAGCCTGAGATACTACCGGGATTCAGTGGCAGAGGAGGTAGGTTGAGGCGGAGACCAAAAACTAGACCTTGGTGGACCCTTTCTGATGTTCACACCACCTCTGTTTCTTTCTTTCCCATAACCTCCTTAGACTCCAGTTTGATTCTTCAGGCAGAGAGGATTCCATCTTATATTTTGTGACAATGCTGTATAAAGAAATAAGTTATTATACCTTTTTCACTATTGACCTATATGTTGTCCTCTTATGCATTTCTTCTCTTTTTCTCAGGCAGCCGATTTGGATGGGGAAATTGACTTGTCAACGTGTTTCGATGTCACGGAATACTCTGTCCAGCGAAACTATGGTTTCCAGATCCATGTAAGACATGGTCAGACTATACATTAAAATAGTAGACATCTTCTAAATAAGGAACTTGAGCCCATCCCTTGTACAAAGGGATTATAGATGATGAGATAGGTGGCCACATAAGTCCTGTAAATTAATTAATGGGGCAGAGTTGGTTTTCTTTGTTGCAGTTGTTGTTATGCTATCCAATTTATAGATGAGTAAATTCCTCAGGCAGTGAAGGTCCCATCTCCTTCACAAGGTGTCCTAAGGTTCAGAGGGAAAACCCTTTCCTCCACCAATGGCCCATCTGGAGAACCATTCAATATATGATCTACTATTATCCGAAGTTGGGTGAATGTTTCTTGGAAAGCAGAACCAAAAAAGAACTTGAAAAGCTACCTCAGAAAGGTGGAGAGCACCAGCAGGAGATCTGTAGAAAATTCCTCCCAGAAACATCTGTCCTAGAGAGGCTCAACCATCACTTCTTTCTCTTCTTTCCTAGACTAAAGAAGGCAAATTCATTCTTTCTGCTATGACATCTGGAATCCGCCGGAACTGGATCCAAACCATTATGAAACATGTTCGTCCCACAGTTGCTCCAGATGTGACCAGGTAAAAAAACATGAGAAATAAGAATGATTGGTCTTCTTTCCTGACTATCTTCATCACACTTCTCCACAAATCCATTTACTTCTGATTTCTCTCTCCTCCACTTTCTGAAAATTATTTTCTGAGACTGGTTTTCTGAGAGTTTGATTTTTGCACAATTTAGCAAGGACAGCTTGATGCCCTGTTGACTGATTTCTCTTTCCACCTCTTATTAAACATGTGGAGCAATGGGAGAAGCTAAGGTGGAGGAACTAAAAGGAACCTCGATTTGAACACTTGTTCAGCTATAGAGCTCAGGGCACCATATCAACCTAGTTGCTTTTCACGAGTGAACTTTAGCGTACTGAATATAAATGTAATTAATCATACTTCAGCCAGTTTCAAATTCAGGGTTGTTGCTGCACAAATGTTAATTTGCAGTAACAATAGTGTGCATCTTCTTCCCCTTAAATAAAGGGTGTATGTTGTCACTAAGCATGACTCTACAGTAGGTACTACCTTGCCTTTGATCTATAGTAGATCCAACCTGTAGGTCCTTCAAGAAAATTAAAGAGTCAAAGTTAAAACCTTGGTTTGACAGGGCTTTGTAATAATTCTGGCTTCAAATGTGGTAGCAAGGTCTTCCTTTCCTATTTTGGTATTTGCTCGTGTAAAAGGAAGAGTAAGCACCACAGCGAGTAGTGTACTATGGTGTAGTTGCAAAGCATGGAATGTTGCTTTAAAGAAAGATTTCTCAACCTTGGCAACTTTAAGATGTGTATGCTGGCTGGGGAATTCTGGGAGTAGAGGTCCACCATCTTCAAATATGGTGGCTGGGGAACTCTGGGAGTTGAAGTCCACCATCTTCAAGTATGGAGCTGGGAATTCTGGGAGTTCACACATCTTAAAGTTGTCAAGGTTAAGAAACCCTGCTTTAAAGTGGTGTGTGAAGAGATGCAGCCAGCTCAGCCAAGATTGCTTTCCTTCTTCTCTGTCCATCCTCCATTCCGTCTTTCCACGCTTCTCTCCCCTCTCCTCCCAGTCTCTCTTGCCTCACTCCTTCATATGTTTAATTTCCACGCACTCGCAGGAAAAGCTTCTCTTTGAAGTTATCCGTGCTGAAGCCAAGGTTGGAAAACTGTGTTCTCTCCTGTATTAACGTTTTGTGGTTTGTATACCTCGTGATTCACTGCATGTTCCTCTTTCTTTGCTGCACTTGTCTGGATTAGAAACTCCTGCTTATTTTGCTCTGACAAACGAGGAGGAGGGAGGGAGGTGAGGATGGCAAGATTTAGTTGCAGAATTTGCTTTCCATGTTGTCACTTTCTGGCCTTGCCAAGCAGGCCTTCTTGGAAATGCAGTTGAAGGACCTTCTCCTGGAGGGGCCACAGCTGATCCTATAGCCAGAACCTCAAATAGATCAGAAGATTTGTAGTAAGAGTTTGTAGGATCTCTTGCAACATCTCTTTGCTCATTAGGTATCCATGCAACCAAAGATTCTCCCAACCAGAATAGTAAACAAATGCTTCTTTGTCCTCTAAATTACAAAGCTGGGTACATGAGTAGAGGAACCTCTAGCCATACCACTAGTTCTTTAAGTCAGATAATCAAGTCCCATGATTAGACATATCTGAAATTACTTCTTGGCATAGGGGTCGTGTGAAAATGAAGTACCACCAGAAGAGAATCTATGATTTATGGTTGAATTCAGGAACCCTTGCTGGTATCTGAGCTTGGTTGTCTACTTGGAGACATTTCATTGCCCAACTATGGAACATCATCAGTCTGAGTGAGGGTAGGGTCAGTATTTTGTAAAAGTTGGATAGTTTTGTCACAGGATTTAGATTGAGTCATTGTTGGGCAGGCGAGGAAGACTGAATTTGGGAAAAAGGTAGGCTCCAGAGGAGCAGTCAGTGGTCTTCTACTGAACTTCTGCCTGAGAGTGAAGCCAAACTTTTCTTTACATCCTAAGAAATATTAAAATTAAGTATAAATTGATATATCAGATAATTTGAATAGTTTTTGCAGATGCAAGATATCTTTGGGTGCTAAAAATAGATAAAATAAGAGAGCCATTCCAGAATATAATCCTTTGAGACCATGCTTTGAAAAGATGACACGGAGAACCTACACAAGTCAACCCCAATGGGTAATGGGTCATTCTGACATCCCCCACCAACTTGGTGGTCTCTTCCCATATTTTTCTGCTCTATTAATGATGAAAATCAACCTGTAATTCTTTGTTGAGAAGGAAATTTACATTTGATTGTAACTACTGTCTGTAGATTAAAAGCTACTTTGACATGAGTTGGGCTACCATTGCCAACATCTAAAAAAAAAAATTCAATCCCAGTGAAACGTCTATAGATAATGATAAAAATAACTAATTAGGAGGAAATTTTTCAACTTCCTGATCCCCAAAAAAAGCTGGATTCTTTTGCATTTGCAACTGGTGTGCCAGAAACCTTTTTTACATGGAGATTAGACAATTTCTAGAGTCAGTGCCATAAAACAGATTTTAAGAAGCTTCCGTATTGGTAGCTAGATATTTCTGGCTTATCTTAGAGGGCCAAATAAAGTTTGTGGATTTTAAAGAAAACTGGATAATTTGTACATTCCTTCAAGCCTTCCCTGGCATTTTAAGGAGTGGTTGGGAAAAGATAGCCAACTAAAACTAGCAATATGCTATATGGTAGATCTATCCACTCCCACAGGTGAGCGTTTTCCACAATCTTCAGGAGCTACAGGCGGTAGCCAGGCTCTGAGCTCATCCTGAAAAGAAAGCAACTTATTTTTTTTCTAGCTTGCTCATGTTTCCGAGCTAGTAGGGAGAGTAAAAGCGGTCCATGGCTAAGTTAGGGGAATGCAGCCCTAGAGTTCAATTCTTATGTTATTTTAATTTTAAGTCCACCTTGCAAATGTGCACGCTGGAGGCTGGCATGTGTTCCGTTGTGTGACAAGACCTCGTTTCCAGCATCCTCTAAACCTTTTCCCCTTGCCTGTCTCTGCCTGTCTGTCTCGCTCCCCTTCCGTTTGGACGCCCACCTTGGCAGTGAGCACCGCAGCTTCCCTTGATGTGAGCACCGTCCTGTGCTGGTCCTTGTCTTGGAGAAAAAGCCATACTGTAGCCACCCTTCTTCCCTTTCACTGCTAAATGGAAGCCTGGGCAGAAATGCAGTAAAAAGCCATTTGATACAGACACACAAAAGCTTTTTGGCGAGGAGAGGAACAGCACAAAATCTGGGCCGTTTGTATCTCTGTAGGATAATATATCCAGTTTGTCCTTGAGGGTTGTTCTTGGTGCAGTGGAGTTTTCCTGGTTGAAAGCAAATTTCCAGAAAGGGGGCAATTTGTAAAATGGGAGTCTGTCAGGGAATTGCGCAGCAGGTGTCCAAATGGAGTCAGAGACGCTGGCACGAACTTGTAGTTTTATATAAATAAATATATTTAAATAAGATAGGCAAACAGGAGCATCGTCAGGTAAATCCACTCAGCAGCAACATCATGAGGTAAATCACAGAGTGCACACAGAAGAAAAAGGCGGGAAACAAGGAAACACCCCCTTTACATTCACAGCAACCAATCACAGCTTAGATTGCCTCACGCAATGGCCAGCTTTCTTTTTTTTTTTTTTTTTTTTTTTTATTGAAAAGGTTTTCAAATACAAATTTTTCCCCCTTTTTCCCCCCCCTCCCCCCCCTCCCTAACCCCCCCTCCCCACCCTTCCCCCCCTGTGACTTCTTCGTAACAAAAAAAAACCCTAATTCATAACAGATTACTTACTCCCTCCTCAAAATACTGACCTTTACTTACTAAAAGTATTATAAATCCCCCTTTATCCATACATTTCAGAAAAGAAGAAGAGAAAAAAAAAACAAAACAAAAAAAGACAAACACATTATACTATAACTATTATAAAATAACTCTAATTTAGCATAATAGTGTTTTATATCTATGCATTATTGCAACAATTCAAAACCACCTTCCACTTTAAAACTATACAATAAGTCCTACTTTAATAACATTTCAAAGCGGGCTCCCCATAAAATCTAATTTAACATTTATTCCACTCTATCCATTTCCTCCACTCCCCTAAATGTATCACTTAAAAATCCCTTTTCTTAAACTAATCAGTCTGTAGCTAGCTTATTCACCCACTGTCTTACAAATTTACCATACACAACAATTCTTGATATCTTTAATTCACTGCCCACACTACTTAAAAATATATATATATATATATTCCATTATATCTAAATAAAAAAAAGAAAAGACAATAACTTTAAATTTATAGTCCATATAATATCTTCTTGAAGTCTTTCCACTGGATTGTTAAAACCAACATCCATAATAGGGTGACATAGCTTGCGGATGCAACAGTTTATTCAAGATCTCCAATCATATCTGCCCCCATCAGTAGTAAACATCTTCTTATATATATAAAAGTAAAAACAACCACCCGAATGACATTATAATTGTATTCCATATAATAATAATTGTGGGTTTCATCAGGATTATTAATTTCCATCATCGTATTGGGTAACAACCCGATCTTCTGCATGTCCCAATGTGATTCTCTTGCCTTATAATTCAAGATAATTATAATATATTTATCAACACAAAAAGAAGTTTCAAAATAGATAATTCAAAACCATCAATTTGAGGCTCTTTCCATGTCCCAAAATTACGGCAATGCAGAGATCTGCCACTATCCTCAGGATGATATTGACCAATATGTCGCCTCCTCTATGTTTTCACATAATCATTCATATTTTAAAATCACTGGCTTCACTGTTGCTTGGGTTAGAAATTTCTATTTTTGTACAACCTATTTCTTTTTTTGTTTTCTTTTTGTGGGTTTGACCTCCATCCTAATTTTTTGTGTCTCGCATTTCTTTTTTATCCCTTGTATATCCTCTAATTGGTTTCCATGCTTGTCCTTGCCTTGATAAGTCATCACATTAAAATCAGATGGCACTTCTCTCAAATTTGTAGATAATCCAGCTGGGGTATCCGATAAATCCAAAGGCAATTTATCTGGTACAGTCTCTGTCTTTAGTTCCAGCTCCTTCTGCTTATCCTGTATTATATCTGAAGACGTTAAATTCATTTTCAACCTATTTTGATAAAATTCTTCCGCCCTTTCAACAGTATTTAACTGGTATCTTTCTCCTTGATATCTCAATATAATACCAACTGGGACGTCCCACCGGAATTGAATATTTCTCCTTTTTAACTCAGACACCAGAAAGCCAAATTTCTTCCTTTCCATTAATATCTTAGGTGGGAGTTCCTTGTAAATCCAAATCTTTCTTCCATACAATTGCAAATTAGAATTGAAGGAATTTTGCACAATTTTATTCCTAATTTCTTTATCTGAAAAATAGATTACCACATCTCTAGGCAATTGCCTTTGCTTGGCAGTCCAAGAGTTTATTCGATAAGCTCTGTCAATCCTACAAAACACTTCCTCAGGTTGAATCTTTAAAATCCCAGCTAGAAATTCAGAAGATATTTTCCTTAAGTCATCTCTGTTATTTTCCTGCAAACCTCTAAGTCTTATTGCATATTCTGTGAAATTATATTGTATCTTTAGAACCTCTTTTTGAATCCTCTGTTCCAGATATTCTACATTACCAGACTTTTGGTCAGCATCCATTTTAAATTTTTCTTCTGAACTATAATCCTGAATATTTAACAAATCATTTTCAATTTTTTGAAATCTATTGTCCAATTTATCTTGAATTTCATCCATTTTTGACTCTAGTAAATTAGTATTTGTATCCAACCGAATCATGAATTCTGGCAATTTTAAAATTTTTTGCTGCAAAAAGTCAAACTTGGATTTCACCAATTCCTTAGTTTCCTGCTTAAATTTTTCAAGTTGCTGATTCACAATCTCATCCCTTCTTTCAATCTCCTCTAAGAGAAATTCTATTATATTAAAATCAGGTTTCTGGGACTGAAGAGTTAAAACATATTGCTTTAAATTCTTGGTGGGGGAATCCCCCCCACCTATTTGTTTGTCTGACTTCACAAGCCTCAGTGCCATGTTTCCGCCTAAGCAGGCTTTGTTAGAAGAAGAAAAAAAAAAAACAAGACAAAAGACTTCCAGCCAGCAACACTCAAGCCTCCAGGGAAAAAAGAGAAAAACAAAAACAGGAGCGGAGTTTTGTCTACAAATGTAGCCAGTGGTATTTATTCCGCTACATTGTAATAATAAAAAACGGAAGAACTTTCCCTCTCAAACTCTTCTCCAGCCGCGGCAGACGCCATTTTAAAAAGAAACTTTTTTCCTCTTTCTCTTCCTCTATTCTCTTAAGTAATTTTTAAAAGATAAGTAAAATACTTGCGCTTCAGTATTACAGGTCCAGCTCACATTTTCTTTGAGTAATCTGTCAAATTCGCAAGCTTGCTTTTGACGCCTGGCTCTGCATTAGCAGAGGTCTCCCAAAGCCCGGAGCAACGGCTGGGGATATGGGGCATCTCATCCGCTCCATCCCAAAAGTAAAAGAAAAACTTTTGGGACTCTGCAGAGAGTTCTACCCACCCCTGCCGGCTCTATCTCCGTTTCCTCATGGGAACGGAGTTTTTTCGAGCCGCCGTTCCGTTGTGAAGGCGGCTCTAACAGGCAGTGGAAGCTGACGATCCCTAAGGAACGTCTGGCGGCGGCCAGCAGCAAACAGGAAGTCCCCGCAATGGCCAGCTTTCTTCATCTAAGTAGCTATAGCTGTGTGTTCTTACTCATTGTCCAACCCTTCACTTCTCCAGCTATTAAATATCCTAACAGAGAAATCTTAACATTAAATAACTTAACAGAGTCCCATTTTCCTAGATTAAATTAAATATCTTAACAGAGTCCCATTTTCCTAGATGTATTCTGAGGGGCCCTTGGTGCTCTCTGAGCTTGGTTGTTTTCTTGCAGACATTTCATTACCCAACTAGGTAACATCATCAGGGCTATTAAGGAGTGGGACTTACTCTCAGTTTATGTTCTAGTGGCTTGCCCTGGCAGTGTTGGTGGGACTGGTCTTAGACATTTTTTGATTGGGATGTTTATTGTTGACTTGTGTGACAGTTCTTTGATTGAGGTATTGTTTACTTGATTGTTGGTCTGATGTTAAATCCTGGAGTTAATTTATGTTCATTTGGGTGCGGATTGCTGATGGGGAGATGTTTGGGTCTTTTTTTCTTTTCAAAATGCCTCCCCACCAGCAATCAGCACCCAGATGAGCATACATGAACTTCACCATTAATATCAGACCAACAATCAAGTAAACAATACCCCAATCAAGGAATTGCCAAACAAGCCAACAATAAACATCTCAGCCAAAATAAAACCTTTTAAGACCAACCCAGAGCAAGCCACTAGAATATAAACCGAGAGCAAAACCCCTCCCTTCTAGCACTGATGATGTTCCCTAGTTGGGTCAGGAAATGTCTACAAGAAAACCAACAAGCTCAGAGAGCACCAAGGATCCCTCATTTCAATCCTGAGCTACAAATATTCTCCTTCACTGGTAGATGTATTCTTTCGTGACAGGGATAAAACATTGCAATCAGCCCTCAATTTTATTTCCTAGGATGCTTTTATGATATTACTTGGTGCTTCAAGTCATATGCTTCTGTTATTAGCAACTGAAGTCAGCTAGTGGGAGAGGACCTTCCCTTCTGCTGTGGGATGTAATGGAAACGGAAAATTCTTGCCCTGGTCTCAAAAAATGAAGGTCTTCTTGGGGAAAACTGGCCTCTTCTTGACCTGCTCAGCAAAAAAAAAAAAAAGGAAAAAGCATTTCATGAATGTCTTCATTGTAATGCTGGTGAATAATGATGCTGCTGAAGCTCACAACAGCTTTGTTATGAGCATAAATCTCGCTCTTTTCAGGAGAAGTGGAGGAGAAAATGGTTAAGGAACATTTGCGAAGAGCAGGGAACGTGAAAAAGGAGAGAGGCCAACACAAGCTAAAATAGGGTATCCATCACAAAAAGCAGAAGCAGGTTTCCAAACACAAAATAACCCTTTGCGCAGGACATTTTAGATTGTTTTAGCTTTTGCGATCTGTTCTGTTCATTTGAAGATAAACTTCTGCTTTATGTCTGTTATGAGTGTAGCATTATTAATCCAAATGTCAGGTAATTTTTGCAAAGTTGCCTTAAGCTGATTTTGGTGTAAGGTGAATAGGTGTGACCAAGGCTTGGTCTGGTTGGACGTTTACAAAGTTTACATCTTGCAGAATTGGAAGAAGAATGGAAACTGGGCACCAACAGTCATGAACAATTAACTGTATTATAGGGACAGGAAAGGCTCCCAACTCTGTATCTGTAGGAAGGTAATCAGCCAGATCTTTGCACCGTCAACACTGTTCCGAGTTTCTTAAGCCAAAGGATAGACATTCTCTTGAATATGATGTCAGAATAACCCTGTTTCTACTCAAATTCCACGCCTCCAATAGTTTTGGCCTCCGATGGTGTCTTCCTGGAGCAATTGGAGAACATAGGGATGAAAAATTGGGTCCAAGTTCTAACTTTCTTCTGTTCTCCTCTCTTCTTGAATCCCTTACCAGCTCTCTGCCTGAAGAGAAGAGCAAAAATGGCACCTCCTTTGAGACTTGTCCCAAGCCGAGCGAGAAGCAGGAGACGGAGCAGGCCGAGATTGACCCCGAATACAAGCGCAGTCGAGCCAGGGAACGCCGAAGAGAAGGTCGCTCCAAAACCTTTGACTGGGCTGAGTTTCGCCCCATCCAGCAAGTCCTGGCTCAGGAGCGAGCCAATTTGACAGAGACTTTGAAGGACACCTCCGCTCCATTCTCCAAGGAGCCCGGCCCCTCAGAAACAGATCCCGGGGAATTGGAGCGAGAACGTGCCCGCCGAAGAGAGGAAAGAAGGAAGCGCTTTGAACATCTGGATGCTACTGATGGAGGAAGCCCAGAAGACTTCTCCAGGATGGAGGTGGATAGGCTTTCAGGGTTGCCTGCCGCTTCAGAGGCCAAGCCTCAAAGCGTCCATGTGGAGATTGAGCAGAGGTGGCATCAGGTGGAGACCACTCCTCTGCGGGAGGAGAAGCAGATCCCCATTGCCCCGCTACATCTTCCTCACCCGGAGGAAAACGGCGAGATACTCCATAAGCAGCATCTGACTGTGCTGCTGGAAAAGGAGGTAAGGAGGTGGGGAAGGAAGGAAGGAGGGAGGGAGAGAGGGAGAGAGGGAGTGAAGGAGGGAGGGAGGGAGGGAGGGAAGGAAGGAAGGAAGGAAGGAAGGAAGGAAGGAAGGAAGGAGGGAGGGAGGGAGGGAAGGACGACCACTGGAAACCCTAGTGGCAAAGTCATTATTCTTGGGTATTGTGAAGAGACCAAGACCTGATGCTTCCCATTTCCTGTCTTGGAACTTGTCCTCATTAGTTCAAGTTGGAAGCCCTTGGGTCAGGCAACTCTCCAATCAAGTTGGTTTTCCTTATTGAAAATACACACTCCAACCACGATCTAGACTTGGGATCTTTGGGTTCCTCTTCATCCTTGTTTAACACCTTCCCTGTTGCACTTTCAGCTGGAACAGAGTCAAAAGGCAGCTTCGGAGCTCTTGGAACAGAACCGTGTCCTACAAGACCAGCTCAAAGTAGCTTTGGGACGCGAACAAAGCGCTCGGGAAGGTTACGTCCTGCAGGTAGGAGGGAGAAGGAGACCAGGAGTTCCATCTCTGGTGGTCAGTTGGGCTTCATTCGCGGGGCTTCAGTCCGGGATGCTTGCAAATGGGCCTAGATTTCTAGATGACGTTGGCCAAACCTTCATTTGCTGAGGGCGATGCATGATGGGGGTCAATGAATTTTGGGGTTCCCCTCTTCACAAACCCTCCCCTTTCATTACAGTATATTATAAATCGCAATAATAAATAAAACAAATAAATAAATTATGAGCGGGTTGTGCCAGGGTCCTGAGTTACGTCTTGAGGGACAACGTGGATTTGCCACAGCATCCAGAAGCTTCAGAGAGGCGAAATACAAGTAGTCCCTGACAAACAACAGTTCATTTAGTGACCGTTCAGAGTTGCAACAGAACCGAAAAGAGTGATTTATGACCCGTTTTTCACATGACTGTTGCAGCATCCCCATGGTCATGTGATCCAAATTCAAAGGCTTGGCAAATGACTTCTATTTATGACGGCTGAAGTATCCCCAGGTCACGTGATCCCCTTTTGCGAACTTCCGACTAGCGAAGTCAACAGGGAAGCCAGATTCGCTTAACAACTGTGGCAAGAAAGATCGTAAAATGGGGCAAAATTCACTCAACAATTTTCTCGCTTAGCAACAGAAATTTTGGGCTCCGTTGTGGCCGTAAGTCAAGGACTACCTGTACTATTCTGATGAGGCTAATGAAAAAATTGCAGAGAAAGCAATTCTCACTGATGTTAAAGACAACGTTGTGAGATAAGAAAACCCCACATCAGATGCCCAGAAAGAAGGAAATTTTTTTATTCCAAATAAAATTTCTTTTTTCAATTGGGTCTGGCATGTATTTATGGGCCACTTGGTCAAATCTATATTTCTAACATTTTTGCATTTCCCCCCCCCTCCTGAAATGACTGAAAGTTGAAACTTCTCTTAGCAGGAAATCCCCAGAAATGGACTATTGTGTATTCTGGCTCAGAATAGTCCTAATCTCATGAATTTGGAGTAGTTTGTGATGGCATTTGGACCACAATCCCTTCGTTTAAAACAGGGGTCCCCAAACTTGGCAGCTTAAAGACTTGTGGAGAATTCTGGGAGTTGAAGTCCACAAGTCTTAAAGCTGCCAAGTTTGAAGACCTCTGGTGTAAAATAATAAATGTTTTTAGAAAGTAGACCCAAGTCACCGGTCAAAACCTAAATTGTGTGTTGACAAATTAGTGACATTGGCTTTATATTTCTCCTTTTTCCCCTACTCATACTTAAAAAAAAAAAAAAAGAAGAAACCTTGCTAGCAATCCTGAAGGCAAAGTCCAAATCTGAAGCTTGTGGTGAGCTTGTCGAGCCACAATAAAACATTTTTAGCCATCTTTCTTTCTTTCCCGATTCGTGGTGTCCACGCTGCAAGTTTCCCTCCCATCGAGTCTTCGAGATCTGTCTAGAGCCAGGTTGCACGCATGTCGAACTTGGAGCCCTCCTGAATCTCTCGCAATACAACTTTTTTCTTGCGTATCTCTTGCCTCGAGCCTGACTGCGCTCTTCATTTTTAACAACAATGGCGCATGACTGGTTTTTCCTGCTTCTCTCCAGACAACTAGCTCCTTTTGGGGTGAAGGTGTGGGAGATGGCTCTACTAATCTTCCTTGGGGACAGGGCACTGTGCATGGGGGATTGTTCTGCTGTGAAAGCATGGATCTGAGTGTCACATCTGTGGGCTGTCCCTTCCAGCTATCCCAGGACAGCGAGGCAGGGCCGGTGATGAGGCTGAACGCTGGGCTTCTTCTGTCTGTGTCTTCTCCATACCGTGTGGCCTTCTTTCCCAACCATTGCACGAATCTCTGTACATTCTCCTCTCTGCATGAACCATGTTTTTCTTTTGCATCTCTTTGAGGATTCCTTCTTTGGACCTTTGTTTACATCTTATCTCTGTCGTTCCACCCTACTTCTCTTGACATGCAGGCAGAATAAAGCCTAGGTAGACCTAGAACCTCAACATCAAAACTTCATTCCCACTTTGTTTTTGCTAGGAACATAAAAGCATCAAATGCTGTTCTTTTCCCTCTAAAATTTAGGGCAGGAAGGAGTTGGGTGGGGCAGTTGTCGCCAGCTACAGCGAAGGGAAGAGGGGAAGGGACAGGGGTGTGGATTTTGTGGGTTTCCTGGTTCTTCTAGGATATTATTAGATGAAGTTTGGTGTTATTGTTTGCAAAAAACACTCGATTGAAATCTGGTTGCTCAACCACCACTGGGCAGAGAAGCTTACAGCTCAACCCAGTCTTGAAAGTTTGAGAGAGCTTTGACAGAGACAGAATCCCAGAACAAAATAAGACGTTTATTATTGTTAATTAAAAATCTGCATACCGTCCAACTCCCAACAACATTCGAAGGAATAAAACGGGGTCCTAATAAACAGCAGTGAAGGACAGCAAACCAGACAGGGGGGAAAAAACCAAACCCACACAATGAAAAAGGGGGCTCAGTCACCGTTGCCAAAGATCTGGGTGTGGACCCAACTCTTCAAGGCCCTTCAAAACACCAGTGGGGGGGGGGGGGGGGGGGAATCAACTGCATCAAGGAGGAATTCCACAGGGAGGGCCCAATTCTGGCACCCATTTCTAGCTCAGCTTTGAAGCCTAAAGGTGAGGATTTGTCTTTGCGAAGTTGCTTGCTCTTTCCTAGCGTACCGTTGGGTCATCCCTCCCACCCCTCCCGTTTCCATTCTCTCTCCTCTACTTGTCTTACGCCATTATTTTTCCTGGTGTCCATCGTTTTTTTCCCCCCTCCCTTTTTGTTTATTCAAGTTGTTTCTTTTAGGGTCTTTTGTGTACAACCTGTTGTCGTGTTTTATCATCCATGCTGTCTTGTTAAGTTGGAAGATGTTCTCCCTAAAAATGGGGGGGTTGTTTCTGGCCGTTTTTGAAAACCCCAAAAAAACAAAAACCCAGGAGACCATTCCGAATTGGAGCTGAAAGGGAGCGAACAAACCCGTTCAACGCCTTTTATGGCCTTAAACCTAACCAGAGATGTGACACTCAGAACCGGGCACCAAGAATGCTACTAATTTTCTATTCAATTAATTTTCTTTTAAAGACTGAAGTGGCCTCCTCCTCCTCCTCCTCCTCTTCCTCTTCCTCAGGGGCCTGGGAGAGGCTCCATAAAGTCAACAAAGATCTCCAGGGAGAATTGGAAGCCCAATGCCAGCGCCAGGAGATGATCAATCAGCAGATCCAGTCGCTTAAACGTAGCTATGGGGAAGCCAAGGACGTCATCCGACATCATGAAGCAGAGATCCAGAGCTTGCAAGCCAGACTCAGCAACGCAGCTGCAGATCTCTCTATCAAGGAGCAGACCTTGGCCAAGCTGAAGAGCGACCTGAAGGCTGAGAAGAAGAAAACGGAGGAGCAGATGGAGGAATGGCAACACAGCGAAACGACCCTGAATTCCCAGCTGAAGGCCAGTGAGCAGAAGCTGAAGAAGGCGGAAGCTCTCCTGCTGGAGAAGACCCAAGAGCTGAGAGATTTAGAGATGCAACAGGCTTTGCAGAGAGACTACCAGAAAGAAGTCCAACGTCTCCAGGATCGCATCGCTGATCTGAGCCTGCAATTGAGCGCAGGCGAACAATCCCGAATGCTGATGGAGAGGAAGCTCCAGAAGAATTACGAGTCTTTGCTAGAAAGCTGTGAGAGGGAGAAGCAACTCTTGATCCAGAGCCTCAAAGAAGCGGAGGATAAAGCCAGCGAATATGAGAACCAGCTTCAGAATAACGAGCAACAGAAGGAGATCCTTCTGAAGGAGAAGCTGAGTGCCAAGTTTGAAAGCAGTGAGCTAGTCCATCAACTGGAGGACCAACTAGAAATGAAAGAAGCCAGCATCCGGAAGCTGGTGGAACATATCAAGAGTCTTGAGGAGGAAAGGGATCAAATTAAATGCCGGTTCCAAGAGTTGATGAACCAAGTTGCAGAGTCCGATAACGAGGTGGCTAAGTTGCAAGCCAAGCTACAACTGGAGGAGAGCAGCTACCACACTCTGGAGCGTTCCCACGAGGTGGTGTCGGAGCAGTTCCACAACTTGCAGCAGATTCTGAAAGAAAAAGAGGAGGAGTTGAGACAAGTAAGAGAAACCCATTTGAGCTTTGTGGAGAAAAAAGAGCAGGACTTCCGTGAGCCTCCAATTACCGCGGCTAGCAGTCGAGAAGAAAAAGAAGACCACCTGACCAAAGAAGAGGATTTGAAAACATCAGCTGAAGGAAGTTCAGGGCTGAAGGTTGCAACAAACGCAACTGAGATGGGCAAGGTTGAAGATCCAGCACAATATTCCCCAAAGCAAGGTAGGCTCCCAGATCTGGGATGCATACTTATTGAGGATAGTCACGAAGGAGCCAGTAGCGACCAGAGGCAAATCTGTGGACGTACGGTGGTGAGCATTGAAGAATGTTCTTCTCCATCAAAGTCAGTAGATCTTCCAGAAATAGAGATGGGTCAGAAAGATTCAATGAAACTTGATGCGGAAATACCAGGAGCCAAAAGACAACGGATACGTTTCTCCAATATCCAGTGCCAAAAATATATTCATCCTGATGGTTCGGAGAAGATGTGGGCCAGCAGCACTTCCTCTGACACCAGCCAGGAACGGTCTCTTTCGGAAGAAAGCATGACTTCTGAACCAGTGTTTTGTTACCCAGCCTCGGGTGACTCTGAGACCTACTTATCTATCATTCACTCCCTGGAAACCAAACTTTACATCACCGAAGAAAAGCTCAAAGATGTAACCATGAAACTCGAAAGTCAGCAGGGCCAAAATCAAGACGCCCTCATGGTCCTTCACCACCAGTGGTCCGGCATTGAAGCTCAGCTTAGAGAACAGCTTCAAGACAGCTTGACTCAAATTAGAGGGTTGGTGTCACAGGTAGAAAGCGAGAAGGAAGAAAAACTCAAGCTGAATGAGAACCACATCTACGAACTGGGCAAGCTCCACGAAAAGACTAGCCGAGCATTAACGTGTTTAAATCAGCGCAGAGAAGAACTGAAACACCTGGGCACCTCTGGTAAAGAAAAAGAGGGAGAGATGTTCTTGGATGCTCTGTCCAGCATTGAAAGTACTTTAATGGATGCAATCCAGATGTTACAAAAGGCGCTTCCTCCAGCTGAACACCAACCAGAAGAACATCTTGCAGCTCAAGCTTTGCAGACTAAAGACATCTGCTGGGATGAGAACAACGCTTCTCCCCAAGGGAAGCCACAGCTGGAATTCTCTATAGAAGAACAGCTGAAGTTGCTTTCTAGGAGGGTGGCTTTTGAAGCTTGCTTGATCAACCAGATAGCAGAGTCTCTGACAGATGCCTCTTCAAAGATCTCGGTGGCTTTCGGAGAGATTCATGCCACCCTGGAGACAGTCTTATTGGAGCCTTCCAATATTTCACATACTGCTGTGGCTTTGGCCGACATTTTGTCTAAGAAGCTGTTGTTGGAAGATGAGTTTTGGAGACAGGTAGAAGAATTAAGGAAGCACTTGAGGGTCAGAGAAGAAGGGGAGGAAGGGAAAATGGAGACCTTGGACTTTCCTCAGTGTCTCATCCAGTCAGTTACCGATAGTACGCTAGTTAAAGCCGAACTGGGTTTTGTGGCTCAGAAAATGAGAGAATCCTTCCATCAGAGACTAAAAGCCATGGAAGAAGACCTCCACAACGCCAAAACAGCCCTCCAGCAGCATAAGTGCATGTTGGAGGAAATCATTAAAGCCTACAAATCTCCTGAATTTGATGGGATCATGCACCAGATCTCCAAAGCTCTTGAGATCCAAGAAGGCATTTCAGAAACAGCCCGACCGACTTGGCACATCAGCCTTCAGGACCGCATTTTGGAAGCTCAGACCGTACAGGATCTCAGCAGTCAAGCTCTGGCTGCTATCCAGGATGATCTGGCTCAGCAGCTCAAAGACAAAGCTAACGTTCTGAAAGACATTGCGGCTGCCCTCCTGTCCGTGTCCCCTGACAACGCCTTGAACGATTGTCACAAGCTCCTCAAAATCTCACGCAGTCCTCCTTATGAGATGTGCATGGGGGATCTTGAACGCTACTCTTCTCTGTTAGTTCAGGATGCGATTATTCAGGCCCAGGTTTGTTACGGGGCCTACAGAGCAAGGCTGGAGTACACAAAGGAAGCCAAGGTGTACAAAGAGTCTCTGCAAAATATGGACAATTTATGCCAGGAGCGCATACGGGCAGTCACGGTCCTCAGGGAAGAGTATGAAATGCTGCTGCAGAAACAGCAAAACGAATTTGCTGAGATGATTGCCATGCTCAAAAAAGAGAACGAAGACCTCAGAGCCAAGGTGGAGCAGCTGGACAACCAGCGAAGGCTCCTGGAAGAGGAGGAGCGTAAGCAGAGCCAAAAAATAGCAGAACTTCAGAGCCAGTACGACGAGGAGATGCAGAAGGTTGTTGAGCAGCTCCACAGGACTGAGGACACTCTGCAGGTGGAGCAAATTGAGGGGAGCCACCAGTTGGAGGCCCTGGTGCAAGATAAGCAGAACCTGGAGAGATACCATCTTGAGCAAATGCAAAGCTTAGAAGAAAAGTTCCAGGTCAAGATGAAAGAAATCCAGGTCCTCCACGATGAGGAACTGCAGATCTTGCAGGAACGCTACAACCAGAATCTCAAGAGCTTGGAAGAATCGCTGGAGAAGTATCAGAAGAAGCCTCCTGAAACCACGTCCGGGATCATCTCTGGTGCAGAAGCACCGGGAGAAGACCAACACGACAATGGGATCCAGGTCTTGGGAAATGATCCCAACGCCCTCCACGGATTGAGAGAGCGGATTCAAGAACTGGAATCCCAGATGAATGTCATGAGAGATGAGCTGGAGAACAAGCAGCTGGAAGGGAACGCGCCCACCTTGAGGGAGAAATACCAGAAGGACTTTGAGAACCTTAAGGTCTTTGTTTGTTCATCTTATCTTGCTACGCGGTCATGTAGTCTGACCCCCCCTCCCCTTGTTAAGAGCAAGCATGCTAATTAACCAGCTGGCCTGCGGGTAGAATCCAGTGATAGAAGCTTTCTCAAGGCATTTCACTTTTTTAAATAGCGACCATGGCATCAGTTTAGCTTCCTAGGGCCTTGGACGCATTTAAACCAGAATGTGAGTCCTTGGGACTAGGCAAATCCCTTGACCTTTTGGGAACAAACTGGCCATTTTTTTTCCCCAGTGCTGACATCATTTTCTTGACATTATGAAGTTCAAGTCACCGCAGACCAACTTAATCAAAGGTGACCTTCTGAAGATTAAGAGGGTTGGAGGGCAGCGTGCCAGCAAAGCTCCAGTTTAAGATAACACCCACCAAATTGAGGGTCACAGACTGTCCTTGGTGGTGGTAGGGTTTTCTGCCCCTAGAAAATCCGGCCCATCTCCCCCTCCCTCCATTAGACAGTGAGGAAAGGGGTGGAACCTGTTGACGTCCCTCTGATTTGTAATAATTACACACCCTAAAGAGGGCCCTTGCCTTTTTTTCCCTTTCATGATGGAACAGGGTGCTTGTTGTTCCTCATCATTTACTCACTATGTCTAAAAATGTCTAGATGGATCAGCATCATTGCTCGTGCTTAAAATCTCCTCAACAACATCCATTCATCACCCATCAAATTAGGAAAAAAGCCAGTTTTCCAATAAGGATTCTCATCTGAGATATATGCTAACTCGTGCGGTGTTCCCTCCTTGCAAACTCTTGCAATTTCACTCGGGTGTAAAGAGGTGGAACGTGGTGACGTTCCCCTGATTTGCCATAATTGCACACCCTAAAGAGGGCACTTCAACACGGCAGCCGAACTTTAAAGTAGTGAGGCTCTTTGTTATTCACACCACACATCCATTGAACAATGGGCTGTCGTGGATTCCTGGTTATGAATAAAAAATAGCATTAGGAGCCGTGGTGGCGCCATGGTTAGAATGCAGTATTTCAGGCTGACTCTGCCCACTGCCAGGAGTTCGATCCTGACCGGCTCAAGGTTGACTCAGCCTTCCATCCTTCCGAGGTGGGTAAAATGAGGACCCAGATTGTTGGGGGCAAGAGGCTGACTCTGTAAATTGCTTAGAGAGGGCTGTAAAGCACTGGGAAGCGGTACATAAGTCTAAGCACTATTGCTATTGAGACAGGTATGGTTTAGGGAATCTTTACTCATGTGAAGTCCTACTCCTGATACACAAAGGAGGAAGGATTGAGTAGAGTTTGTTACACATAGGATTAGATTTGTTAGTCCCTGCAAGAACAGTCTTTTTTCCTCCCCAAGTTTGAATGCCCACATCCTTTTAGAACCTTTTCAAGGGATCCTAAAATAATACTTCCTCAAAGCTTTTTACTTTTTTAAAGAATTTTTTTACTACTGGTTCAGGCGAATATGTAGTAAAAAAATGCTTAAAAAGTTTTTTTTAAAAAGTTCCAACAATCCTGCCTCGCTCAGCTGATCGTCGGAACTTTTTTTTTTTTTACATTTTTTTACTATCAGTTCGGTGAACCAGCAGCATTTTTTACTATCGGTTTGGGTGAACCGGCCCGAACCGGTAGCATTTCACCCCTGCTGGAGATTTTTTTTTTTTTTAAATGGCCTGGGGCAACATGCCAATGCAATCCTTCTTTCTGACTTTCTTGAAGGCAACGTGTGAACGGGGGTTTGCAGCCATGGAAGAGACCCACCAGAAGAAGATTGAGGACTTGCAGAGGCAGCATCATCGAGAACTGGAGAAGTTGAGACAGGAGAAGGACCGTTTGCTGGCTGAGGAAACGGCCGCCACTATCTCCGGTAGGTCCAAGGGAAGAAGAGAATGCAGGTGTGTTTTTCCTACAACTGTGTGTAGGTAGTCCTCACCTTACGACCAGTTGCTTAACCACCGTTCAAAGTCATGATGGACTTCCCCAGAGCTACATATGACCCCTTTTCAGAGTTATGACACACACATGCAGGCAACTACACACACACACACACACACCACACACACACACACAAACTGTGGTCATGTGACCATGATTTGCTGGTTTCCAGTGTTTACTTCCAATTTCTGGCAAAAACAACCTCCAGTTGGAAAAAAAGGCCACGGTGTTCACTTAATGACAGCTGCAAAAAAAAATGACTTAAAATCTGATCTGGCCTCACGATGCCTCGACTTACAGTGGCAATAACTTAACAACCATAATTCCGGGCTCCCTGACGGTTGTAAATCAAGGATTTCCTGTCATTCTTCCTTTCCAGCCATAGAAGCCATGAAGAACGCTCACCGGGAGGAACTTGAACGGGAGCTGGAAAAAACCCATCGGTCCCAAATTAGCAGCATCAATTCAGACATTGAAGCTCTGCAGAGACAATACTTGTAAGCATATTCTTGGCATCTTCTGGTTGTCCGTGTTAAATGTTTCTTGCCTTCTTGGGTTGGGTTCCGTTGTGCATCGTTGGCGTTTTGGATATTCCGTGCTCGTCTGCACCCTATGAGCATTATTTGAGTACACAAACACACACCTCATTTGATTTCCCCCATCTTCTACAGCTATCCAGGTGGAAAGCATGGCTGTCCACACGAACTGCTGATAGCTCATTTTCCTTCTCGGTTTCTTAGACTCCAAAATTCTTCTATTTGTAGTACATTTTGTTTTTATTTATGAGCCGCTCCATAAGCCTTTGGCTGACGTATTTTCTGCAAATATATGTGTACACACACACACACACATACACACTCGTAATTCATTTTGATGAGGTCACGGAAGGGTAATAAACAGATTTATTCTCGCAGATGCACCCAAAAAAATGACCTAAACTGAATTTATAGATTTGTGCTTTAGGAGAAATGAATTCCTCATGTCCGATTTGGACCAAGCTTAGTTTCTAGAACTTTGCAGACAATTTTTGAGAAAACCACTTAAGGCTTTTCTCAAAAAAAAAAAAAAAAAGTCTTACATGTATGACCGTCCCAGTTTTCTACTCTCTTCATCCATTATCTGGAGAGAGAGAGAGAGAGAGAGAGAGATGGAGAGGGAGGGAGGGAGGGAGGGAGTGAGGAAGGAAGGAAGGAAGGAAGGAAGGAAAGAAAAGAGAGGGTGGGAATAGATGGATGAATGGATGGATGGATTTTGGACAGATTTTGACTCCGGCCACTAAAAGCTAATTGGTCTACATTTTTGGAAGAGAGAAATTATTTTGGGTTTTGCTGTACTTATGATTGAAAAAAAGCATGATTGGATTGGGAAAGGATTTTTTAAGGGCTGAGTGAAGGCAATAAGTCCTTGGAAGACGTGGGAGGAATCAAAACTTGAAAGTTCTCACATTGCATGGATGCAGTTTCTGCCGCCTCCTCCTCCTCTTCCTCCTCACCTGCCAAGTTGGTTCCCGAATGGCCCTCCAAAGTCAAAGCCCCTTTCTCCTTTGTCCTGCCCCCAGGGAGGAGTTGCAGTCTGTCCAGCGGGAACTGGAAGTCCTTTCAGAACAATACTCGCAGAAGTGCTTGGAAAACGCTCACCTCGCCCAGGCTTTGGAGGCGGAGAGGCAGGCCCTCCGACAATGCCAGCGGGAGAACCAGGAACTCAATGCACACAATCAGGTGAAGCCTCCCTGTGATCTGAGACAGTTGCTCTAAAGCGCTGTTTTTCGAACTCGGCTACTTTAAGATGGGCGGACTTCAACTCCCAGGATTCCCCAGTTCGCCACATTCAAGAGGTCCTGTATTTGCGGGTGGGAGGGATGGGATGATATAGATCGATTCACTCTGCATGCACGACGAGGTGAAATATTCCTGTGTTCTGCAAACATTGATGTAAAGGTTTCCTGTATTGGATGATAGAGGGGTAGTCTGTTGGCGTAATTCTATGTATTCTGAAGAACAGTGCATTTGTGGTTTCCTCCTAGGAGCTGAACAACCGCCTGGCTGCAGAGATCACCCGACTACGGACGTTGCTAACTGGGGAAGGTGGCATGGAAACGGCTGCCTCTCCTCTCACCCAAGGCAAGGATGCCTACGAGTTAGAGGTGAGTTTGTTTGTAACTGTTGATAAGGTTGGAAATTCCTTCCTCCCTCCCTCCTTTCCTTTCCGTTTCGTTTGTTTTAAAATCCTTACTTCCTTCTCTCCATTTCCTCTTTTCTATCTTTCTTTCCTTTTTTCCCTATGCTTTTAAAATCCTTTCCTCCCTCCTTCTCTCCCATCTTTATATTTTTTCCTTGATGCTCGTTTTTTTAAAAGGTGCATCTCATTGACTTTCTCCCTTGCAGGTCCTGTTGAGAGTTAAGGAATCAGAAATCCAGTACTTGAAGCAAGAGATCAGCTCCTTGAAAGACGAATTGCAAACAGCACTGAGGGTAAGAATTTAGAAGCAGGTATCACCTTAAAGCTGTTAACAAGTGATTTAAACCTCCTCATTTCTACACTTTGAGCTAAGTAGAGCAGTCATATTTAGAAGTATGTTTTAGGTCAGGAGTGTCCAACCTTGGCAACTTTTAGATATATGGACTTCAACTCCCAGAATTCCCCAGCTAACATGGCTGGCTGGGGAATTCTGGGAATTGAAGCCAATTCCATGTCGCCAAGGTTGCGGCTTCAGGTGATGGCCTAAGGCAGGAGGAATTAGGAGGATGAAGAAGAACCGGGCAAAAAAGGGACACCTTTCGATTTTAGTGTTTAGAACACATTGAACTAATGACTGTTGAATTTACTAGTATTCTCGGTTGTTACTTTTGGGTGGCCCATGGAAACCGAAAGATCTCAGCTCCAATTGTCTTTTGTCTTTTCTCCAGGATAAAAAATACGCCAGTGATAAATACAAGGACATCTACACGGAGCTCAGCATCGTCAAAGCCAAGGCAGACTGTGATATCAGCAGATTGAAAGAGCAGCTGAAGGCAGCCACTGAAGCCCTGGGAGAAAAATCTCCCGAGAGCAGCACCGTGCCCGGATACGGTAGGTTCACTGCTTCGTAATTTCATATTTCGGGATGCTGAATCAAAGAAGGGTGGGATCCGATGATCTCGGGCAAGTTTTCCTGGAAAAAAATTGGTGCACATTCATCGTTGCAAAGACCACTCTTCGATATCTCCTTGAGTTGGACTTGGTGGGTTCAAGGAACCTAGCATTAGAAATAGTGGTAAAATTGGATTTCTTGAGGGAGGGAGGTATTTTGGAGTGTTGTTGCCTTGAGGGGAAAGAAGCTGAGATAGTGACTTTCTTTGAACTCTGTTTGTTTGGAATATTATGACCTACAGGTTTTCAAAAGAATTATATTGACTTCCTTTCCTTCTTACCCACTTAGATATTATGAAATCGAAAAGCAATCCTGATTTCTTGAAGAAGGACAGGACCAGCATTGGCCGACAACTAAGAAATATCAGATCAAAGGTGAGTTGATGTGGTCTTTCCATTTTCCCTGGAAAACATGCTTAGACGTGCAACATCTTAGTAGTTGTCCTATCGATGGCTGATTCTGCCTCAACAGGTAGCAACAGCCAACCAAACTTAGCTGTTGGCTAAGCTGGGAAGGCCCTGGGGGATACTTGGATGGGGGAATCCACCTGAGAATTTGGGATAGCTCGAGAAGCCAATCCAGAAGAAATCAGAAGCTATTCCCTTTCATAAGTGTGCTGAGAACATATAGACAAGGAGAACGTTCATTCTTTGTGCTTTGACATATAAGCAACACATTTAAAGCATGAGATTCTTAGGACATTGTTTCTCTAACTTTGCAACTTTAAGACTTGTGAACTTCAACTCCCAGAATTCCCCAGAGAGCCATGTGGAAGTCCACTTGTTTTTAAAGTTGGCAAGTTTGACAAACATTGCTTTAAGGGAACATAGTTTTCAATAGTCTACAAGAGTGGACCTCTTCATCCTTAGTTCCTTAGCCAATTCTGGTCCACCCGTCTCTCCTTGCATATTGGCACACTTGTGGCATTTATTAGGAAAAGAACACCAATCCTGAGCTAAAGCCTCCCTCTTTGTAAGCATCTGAACCCCAGCAAAATTCACAGAAAGCACCCGCAGATTCGAGAAAGGCATTCTATCGTTTATTAAGTTCACATTGGTTTTGTTGATATCCTGTGCCTTTTTCTGTGTACCACTTCTTTTTGCACTGGAAGACCTACCGTATTTTTCAGAGTATAAGACGCACCGGACTATAAGATGCACCTACTACCTTTTTTGGTGAGGAAAACAAGAAAAAGAAATCTGCCTTTGCCTCCCAGCAATTTTGCTTCATTACAGCAAACAGCCTGCTTTACTTTCATTTTCGTTTTCAGCATAGCTTGATTAGCACAAGGGGAAAAAAATCTGCTCCAGCAATTTACCTCCTTGCAGCAAGCAGCAGAGGCCCCCACAAAACAGCTGAGAGTCAGGAGGCTGATCCAATCAACTTATGCTAATTAGGCTGTGCCTAACAGAAAGGAGCTGTTTCTTCTTGCTTCTTGCTGCAAGGTGGTAACTGCTGGGAGTCAGAGGCCAAAGGATGGGGGCCAGTGGGTGGGCGGGGCTATATTCGGTATATAAGACGCACCTAAATTTTCACCTCCTTTTAGGGGGGGGAAATGTGCGTCTTATACTCCGAAAAATACGGTAGTTTAATTCCTTCCAGTGCAGCTTCTCTTTATTACTGATCTGTGTTTTTAATTATTATGGGTTTAAAAAAAAAAAGATTTGTTGATTTATGGAGCCATTCGATCTTGGCCTCCTCCTTAAAGGCGTGGGAAGGAAGTTGCTTGCATTGTGGCCCACAATAGGATTTTATGTCTTTCTTTGTTTTTGTTCTTTGTCTTCGCTTCGGATAACAGTCGGTAATTGAGCAGGCTTCATGGGATAACTGAAATGCACCAGGTTCCAGGGTCCCTGCCATGTAGGTAATCCACCCACCCACCGGTTCAACGATGCTACTTCTCGGAGGTTGCTGTGCACTTAAATGCATGTTCTGCTGATGTTTCCATAGCTAATCAGGTCCTTCCCTCCCTCCACCCACCCACTCTCCAGAAGCCATGGAGATTGGGTTGGGTAGAGCAGGGATAGACCCCCTCACGCCCAATCAGTGGCTGCATCCACCCTTCTATCTCATCCTGTCTTCACTGACATCCATCACAAGTTTTCCTTGCCATCTCGGCTGACCTGTGGGGAGTTCTTCACTGTGGAGCATGAGAAGATGCCTGCATGTTGGATTGTCTCTGCATGCTTCCACTGACCACTCTTCAGGAGGCACGAGTTTCTGAGCGAAGGATCATGTTGGAGTCCCTAGTTTTGGATGCTGGTTCATCTCGGCAAATAGGCAGCTGGTGGCGCAGTGGTTAGAATGCAGCGTTGCAGGCAACTCTGTTCACTGCCAGCAGTTTGATCCTGATCGGTTCAAGGTTGACTCAGCCTTCCATCCTTCCGAGGTGGGTAAAATGAGGAGCCAGATTGTTGGGGCAAGAGGCTGACTCTGTAAACCACTTAGAGAGGGCTGCGAAGCATTGTGAAACGGGATATAAGTCCAAGTGCTAATGCTGTTGCTATTGGTAGAGAGTTGGTGGTATTTGCACAAGGAAAGTATTCCAGTTGTTTAGCAATTAGAAGTTATTTTACCCATTAGAGATAGTGGCCCAAATCATTGCATCTATCTTGCTGGGCGTGTGTTCATATATACTGTATACTGTAATATAAAATTACATATATGTGTGTGTGTGTATATATATTAGTGTATATATATTAGTATATATATATGTTAGTGCAAAATGACTGCTGACATAAGCCTGATGATGGCAGATGGGATTCTGCCGAAATGTCGCTTCTACCCTTTTAGGGATATATCCACAATTACACGGGAAGAAACCCGAAATATTAACTATACACACATACATACCCGTGAAAACTTACATAAACAAATATATATATATATATATGTATGTATATGTATAATTTTAATTGAAACTTTAAAAATATTAAAACAAATAACACCAACTAATATGAAGGAAGAAAAAAGAAAGAAAGCAAAAAATGCAAGAAACGGGAAAATCGTGAAGAAAAGCCATCTATGTAGGGCTTTTGCTGATTTTCCTGTCTTAATTGACACACAGCATTGGAATTTTTGGCTCTGACCTTGTGCAATGAAATCAAAACCCTGTTCTTCTCTGATTCATAACAGAGGTATGACATTCTGCTCTTCCCACCATGAGTTAAGAAGCCAGGGTTTTGGTTCCTTAGAGGAAAAAATGTGGACATTCCTTCTGTAGTCCCAGTTCTACAAGAGACCCCATCCTTTATAAAGCGTTAATATGTTAGGAAACTGTCTTGGAGCAAATATGTTAAAGGGAAAGGACAACTTTGTAGGTCTTGTGGAGTTTGAAGGCATCTGGAGATACTTCAGAGAATCTCTAGAGGGTCACTCTACTTAGCTGCGCCTGTGGTCATCTCGCTCTTCCTCCATCGGGCACCGATTCTCCAGTAACCCTTCTCCATAATGGTGCTTTTTCTTTCTTCCGCATGATGTTAAACTTGAGGATTTTGTCTCTCGCTATTTTATCTCCTCTGCCTGAACACCTCCGTGTTGGATTTGGTCCATTCCACCAGAGCGGCCTTTTATGGTTTGCTTTTTTCCTTCTTTCTCTCCCCTCCAGAGTCTGAAGGAAGGTCTGACGGTGCAGGAGCGCCTGAAGCTCTTTGAATCCAAGGAGTTGAAGAAAGACTAATGTTCTCCTTCGTTTCCGGCTTGGCCACGTGCACTGCCTAGCTTGACGCATCACGACACGAGCATCCTTCTTCTTTTTTCCCCTCACCATTTTGATCTTATTTTTTATGACTACGCTTCGCTTGGCCGGGAGCGGGGATTTTTCTAGAGCTGCTCCGGATGAACAGACTAAGCAATTCCAGACTTTTTTTTTCTGTCCACCATCAAAGGGATGAAAATCATTGTTTCTCAATCTTAGCAAGTTTAAGATGCGTCGACTTCTGCTCCCAGAATTCCTCAGCCAGCAATAGGGAATTCTGGGAGTAGAAGTCCAGGCATCTTAAACTCGATGAGGTTGAGAAATACTGGATTAAACAGATTCCTTGACATGTTCAATGAAAAGCTCCTTACTTTGGGCAAGAATGCAGGGAAAGATTGAAGATTTTTCTCTCTTAAATATATATATTTATCTCCTTCCTAGTGTATATCCACTACATTGAGTGTCAGTATTAAGGCTCAATAGCCTATTATAAGCTAGCCCTGTTTTACTGATGTGTTGGTATCACAACAGGGCCCTGGGAAAAGGGGAGGGAGGACACACCTCCAGCTTAGCTCCACCAGTGTTGAAGAGTAACACAGCACTTAGGCGCATATTTTGAGCCACTCTGAAACAAATTCAGCTTGGCCAAGCAAGCTCCCCAACGCCCCTGGATGGTTGAGAAACACAACAAGGGGGAAAGAAAGACAGTCTGGACTGTCCTTGATCTATTGTGCGATTTGCAGAGATTCAGTCCTTTGTGTAGCTTAGCAATCTTCTGAATTTATTTTACTAAGCCAGTTTAGAGCCATGGTTAAGGGGTGGCAGATTCCACTTTTAGCCAGGATCTTGGAAAAACATAGCTCTTAAGATCGCTAGCAACCATTGTCCTCTTCCAGTTGGGTTCACCTTTTCTCCTAGTCTCAGTGGGTTTTGGGCATCCATCCGAGAGATTTCAGGACATTTCTCTTGTCTGATGAGGATGGAGAAACCAGGTTTCATCCTAAAGTACAGATCTTCGCTTCTTAAAGGTGACTTTAAAGAAAAATGGATTGTATCTGTATATCTGTGTCTGAGAATCTATTTGGGCATGATTACACCATGCAGTGTCTGTGCGAGGGATATTTCATTGCAAAGGAACACCTGAAAACGGATTGGGAGCTAAGCCCAGTTAAAAGTGGCCTTCAAAAAAAGACCAGGCTAGCCATGATCCCAAAAGCAGCTTTAGTGCTTTCATCCACTTGAAATGAAGCAGGGCCCGCCCACCCACCCCAAAAATGCAACTAATAGATTTCTTGATGCACTGGGATCCAGAACGTAGACAGCTTTCCCAAGAAAGACCCTGGGATGGATTAAAATAAATGCCAAACCTGATGAACAGAACACATTGGAAGTGGGTGCTTAAAATTTCAGGATTAACATCTCACCAGCATTATGAACAAGCCTCGTTTCTGTCTCCCCAATATTGCAGATGATTAGGGTGCTCCAGCCCAATTCTACAAATCTGAGGTCCCTTAAGAAGGGGAGTTTTTTTCTCTTACTGGGTTGAGTTTCTGCTGCAACTGTCTTAACTTTGGGACAAGCCCAACTGTGTGAAACCTTGCTAATCTCAGTGAGGGTTGGTCCATTCCTTTTCTCTACATGCAGGTTTTAGAATTTTTAGACACCTAGCAATGAAATAAGTTGTTCCAAAACAAAAACACCTTATGAGATCATCTCCTAGAGGTAGACCTGAAGCAAAAGGATACCCTAGTATGCACTACCTTAAAGGCAGCTGGACAGAGAACGTATGAATTTCAGGTGCCTAGTTGTATTTGACATGCCACAACAATAGTATTCTGCAAAACGTAACTGCCCTGAATGGCTAGGACTAAGGAGATCTTCCTATTTTTACTTTAGAGGTTAGGCTTTTCTTCTTCAAGACTTCTCCTAACTCTGAGTAATTTCTCCTATCTGACTGCAAATTGTTGGTTGAGGGTCTAGAAGTGCGATTCAAAGTAGTTATGGCAGCCCCGAGGATTGGTGTGTGAATGTTGGCATTTGGAGGGCATCTCGGGCCGCTGAAGGGAATGCGGTGGTGGCATCTGCCTCTGAAATGGTCTTGCAGGCCTCAATTTTCCTCTCTCCTTCACACAGACGAAGCTGAACTGGTAGAACAATGTTTCTCAACCTTGGCAATTTGAAGATAACTGAACATCAACTCCCAGAATTCAATGCTGTGCTGGCTGGGGGATTCTGGGAGTTGGAATCCAGACATCAAGTTGCCAAGTTTGCAGAACCCTGGGGTAGAAGAATTTAATTTTTCTTGCATGGTTTTCCTGCAACTCGATAGCAATCTGTTGGCAGACGAACAAAAGGTCTCTGGGAAAAATCTCTGCAATTCATCCCATCTCTTTTTCAATAACGTCCCGATTCCGAGATGGCTTCTTAAAACATGGAACGCGATGTTTGAAAGACGGGAAAAGTCACCCCACCTCCATTCGCACAAAACTGACTTTACTGCTACGAGCAAAGGGGCTGTCCCTACGCAACCAAGCCAAGGCGGTGTTTGGGAAAGGATGGGTTTCTTGAATGGCTCTTTAAAAGGCGTGTGTCAGAGGCAGGTTGCTGCATTTTCACCCGATTCTGTATTTCGGAGATTTAAAAGAAATGTGTATTCTTGATGGAGGTTTGGCACCGGTTGGATGTACCATGCAAACACACCTGAAATACGGCTTTGGGGATGTTGTCCATGGCCGATCTTGTCTCTCTTTTTTTTCCCCCCTGGTTTCAAAGCAGGATTCTTGTCTTTTCTTAATGCCATTTTGCTTTCCTTTTTTCCTGCTAAGAAACAAAAGGAGGATCGCTTGTGCTGATCCAGGAATCCGAGCAGGCTGTTTTTCCTATGACAGAGGCTGCCTTCAAGCGGCCCTGTGTGGTGTTTGGGGGGGGCGGGGAATGTTGCTTTTTGTAATGACAATATACTTGATTAGAATCTCACTGGACTTCCTTTTTCTCCATTTCAGTGGTTCATATGCAGTACTTTGTTGTGAACACTTTGAGCACACGCACGCTTATCTTTCCTTTGTAATTCCCTCCCCCCCATTTTTTTAAAGCTTTGTTATTCTCTAAAAATAATTTAAGACCTGTATAGTATTCAAAGCACGCCATGTAAATATTTATTATGCAAAAACTCGCGGAGGGTTTTATGGGGTGACTTTCTTTTTTTAATCTTGTTCTAATACGGATTTCCTTTCGACTTGGGAAAAGGAAATTAGTGTAACCTGAAATCCTGCTTTGTTCCCTTACAAGAATGTTGGTTGGTTTGTTTGAATGCTATAAATATATTTTTAAATTTCTCTGATCCTTTTTAGTTTTGGAAATGCCTCTCCAAAGAAAAAAATATGTACAGTGTTTTAAAACCTAATTGCTATACAATAGTTTTCTTCCTCATTCACTTCAGTAAGCTTGTAACGGACAGTGGCACAAATAATCCTGGGCTATGCAGTTGTGTTGCAGTAAACTCAGTTTAATGGACTCAAAGGAAGGTGTTTGTTAGACCTGAATGTCCATTAAATAACGAATAGGATTGTATGTATGCCTACAGCGGCCGATGGATTTTGTCTGATGCATTCGAAACCTGATCGACAGAAGGTCCAATAAATTGAAGATTCACTGCATGTTCACTGAGCAATGGTGATAGTAGCATCTCTTAAGTCATCGAAGGTACACCATGTTGTTGCACGTTAACCCTGTGGCAGATTAAACCAAGCAGTTCTCCGAAGAAATTAAGTAATGTTGCTTCTCACTGTCCATAATTTTGAATTATGCTATTCTGCACTGTGGTCACAGCATGGCAGAATAAGCTGCTGCAGTTTTGATAGCTCCCTTTAAAGTTACGCTATCGTACACCACAACGGAACTTCAGAGGGGAAGAATACCCTTGGTGGTAGAATTTGAGCCCGTGACTGACCACAAGAGCTGAGAAATATTCCTAAAGTACCTAAGGGAAAAATCTTGGGTTTGCCGTAGAATAAGCTATGCCGTAACTGCGTAAGTCAATAAAATTTGCTGTTAACAGTGGAAGTCCATCTGGGTGGTGAGAATTCAGTGTTATTTCCTTCTTTCAATGGAGTAACACCATCACTACTTTCAGTGTAAGAAACAACCACACGTAAATATCTACGTCCTGTCGCTGAGCTGCCGAAGAGTCTGCAGACCAGTGCCTACCACATGAACCTGTGGCTGGAGGAGAGGGAGTGGGAGGCTGTGCACAAGGACTGCAAGGAGACCCATCTTCATGGGCTACTCATGAGCGCCTTGCTTCAGAAAGTTTCTGAGGCCACCACGTCTGTCTCTAAGTCCCACATGAGCTTCATCACCAAGTTGACTATAGCTTGATTGGCTCACCAGGTCATCTGAGAACTGAGTGTGGAAATGACTAAGTCAGTCTTTCTCAACCTTGTTAAGAATTCTAGGAGTTGGTCCACCCACCTTAAAGTTCCCAAGGTTGAGAAACGCTGCTCTAATCCACACCTTCCAGCCAAATTTAAGGTGCAAGAAGGTGGGTCCATTTGGAGAGCAGGTGGCATCCTGTGAATTAGCAGTCCACTCCAACCAAGAGGGCTCGTGGAAGTCCCAGCAAATTTAGCTGCTGAACAGTGAATCCTCTCTTGTCCTCAACGAATGTGTTTTGAATTTAGTGAGATTCCGAGTGGCGCTTCCCCCCCCCCCCCCATGCTTTTAAGGGAGCCAGTTCCCTCTTCAGCTGTTCGCTGTAGAAGTATCACTTCGGTCACAGTATTTATTCCTTACAAACCTTGTGTGACATGCTAGGGTTCCCATGGATGTAGCTGATGATTTTGTAAATATAATTACTTAACTATATATAAAATTATATCGTAATAAACTATTTTTGCACCACCGTTGGTATGCTGTAATGAAGGTTTTTTGGTAGATGGAGATGATGCGGCCTTCAGAATTACCACTAAAGTGTGATTTTATTACAAGTCATGGGTCACGATGCTGGCTTCCCCACAAATCTTAACAATTGCTAGTAAGTGGAACAGAGTATATGTTTCTGAACTGTTCCAAGCATGGCCAAAAAAAGAAAGAAATGGAAATAGCAAAAATTAAAATATTGATTAAACTGCCCAACTTCAGACCCTCTTAGAGATAGAGATAACCATTTCATAACTCGAGTGTTAAAGAATCCCAAAATATTACAATAATTGCATTCACACTTGCTCTCTGGAACCACAGCTTTAATCATTGAAAAAAACTAAACAAACAAGACCTGACAACGTATTCAAGGTGTTCATGCATTAAGTTACTTCCATTTCTTCCAAGAATTCTCTTGCAATCTTTTTCATCAGTAATACAGTTTGAAGTAACAGCAAAATCCACCAGTCCTAATATCCTTTGACATAAAGAACTATTTAAACTGAAATATTTAAACTGGGATCATACTTCTGGCTGGATGTTGCTTCTAGTGCAATACACCATGCAGGGCAATGGTTCTGTCTCTCTCCGTATTCTGCTGCCAAGTTCTTATGTTCCAGGATTCAAATCAAACAAGCAACGCATAATAGAAATTCAGCACTCTCAACTTTACTGGTCTTTTGGAAAATAAAAGCAGATAGTGGTTCTTGGGCCTTCCTGAGCCTTTTCTCTTTTTCAATTCAGATGCGAGATCTGATTCCGCATAAGCACAGAGGTTAAAGGCAACATCTTAGAATGTTCATGTCCCACATGCAGGAAATGTGCTTATAAAGATCAGCATACAATTCCATCTTTGCATTCTGTTCTGCAATAATGCAGCTTTATATCCCTTCTTAATAAAGCCTATTTCAAGTTCTATTCCTTGGAAAGTAAATTTACTAAACAATTAAAAGAGTACACTGCTTGTGTATTTCCCGACTTGCTGCTTATCTTTTAAGATAATTATGTCGTTCTCAACATGAGAAATTTTGAACCAAATGCTCCCAAACTTTTTTTTTTTTTTTTTTTTGCCATGCTGTATATTTTTGTCCCAGAATTAACTTTATCCATTTTCAATCCCGGTTTTCTCATGTTTAGAGAAAAATGTATAATTAACAGGATTGTAGTTTTCCCAAATCTTTTCAAATTCTTCTAGAAAGATGTTCACCAAAGCCTGGTCTTCTACCACCAGCACGTTCTCTCTGTTGGTCTGGATTGCTTGGGTGGTCCAGTTCAAAGAGCCCGTGATCAGCACCTTCTTGTCCACGATGGCAAACTTATGGTGCATGTAGCCACTGTCCTGATCGTGACGTACCTGAATCCCTTGGAAAGAAGAGAAAACCCCACTCAACACCAAGGATCTGGCTGGTCGCTCAACTGGGTTTGGGAGAGTCATATAAATTTAACCATCAGTAATTTATGCCAATGGGTGTCTTTACGACCAAACCACCTCATCCTTCAGTCTTTATTGCTTGCTTTTGTCCTCAATCCATTTGCCTTAGCTCAAATCTCTCCCTTTCCTTCTTCCACCATGTATCCTGTAAACCCTTTCCACTTCATTGCTTATTTTCACGTTTCTCTTCAGCCCCAGGTCAGCATGACCAAAGCAAGGCCGTCGGGATGCAAGGGGTTGTGGTGGCCTTGCAATTACATCCAGAAGGGTAGAGCTTCCCCAGAAGGACTCAAAGACAGCCTGATGCTCTTGACCCACCCCTGGTTTCCCTCTCCCCAACGGGACAAAATAACCTTCCCTTTTCACTCCTTTTGACCACATTCACCTTTAGTTACCACCCCTCAAGACTTGAATGCTCCTTAGGGCTATTGGGCAGGGAGGTTAAACCAACCCTGGGAGTGGAATGCCTTCTCCTTTATGGCTTGAAATGGGATGTCATAAACCCAGGCATATGTAGGGTTTGGGGTTTGAATCCTTTTCCCTGCCCTCCAGCCTCACTATGGATGGGTAGCTGTGTTGGGGTTAATCAACCCAATCAACACCCCCCCACAAACAACTTACTCATTACAATTGTCTCCCCTTGCCCATTTTCCATTCCAAGGTAAACCCAGGACCACCCCCACCCCCAATCTCTTGCTGCTGCTTTTCCCCCAATAACTTCCTAATGGTCCATTCCGATTTCCTGTCTCTGGATAGTTGGTTTTATTTGTGGTTTTGTTCCTCTCTTCCTCCTTGCCCATCCCCGCCCCCCCAAGACAGCAGATGGATGCCTCCTGCCACAATGTTTTAAAGCAAGATGTCTCCAAATTTGGCAACTTTAAGACCTGGGGGCTTCAACTCCCAGAATTCCCTGCCAGCCATACTAGGGGGAATTCTGGGAGTTGAAGTCCACCAGCCTTAAAGTTGCCAAGGTTGGAGACCCTTGGTTTAAAGGAGCATTTTTCAAACTGGCCCATTGAACAGGGATGGACTCCCAGAATTCCCTGCCAGCCATACTAGGGGGAATTCTGGGAGTTGAAGTCCACCAGCCTTAAAGTTGCCAAGGTTGGATACTGTTGGTTTAAAGGAGCATTTTTCAACCTTTGGCCCATTGAAGAGAAATGGACTTCAACTCCCAGAATTCCAGCAGCCCAGCCCATCCATCTCCCCGCCCTGATTTTCCTCCCCCCCCCGGAACGTGCGATGGTTTGATCCGATTTCTCCTTTCCCTCCTCCCCCATTGGTCGCCGGCGCTCCGGCCCCGCCCACCGCGGCGCGGCCCCGCCCCTCACCGGCTTTCCTCAGCGGCCCGATCTGCGAGCCGCGCAGCGCCATGTAATCGGCGTCGACGACGAGGCGGATGCGGACGCCGCGGCGGTGCAGGAGGACGACGGCGCGGCCGAGCTGCGGGCTGGAGAAGGCGAAGAGGCAGAGGTCGAGCGAGCGCCGCGCCGCCAGCACGCGCACCAGCAGGCGGCCCAGCGCGCTCTCGCCGTGAGGCAGCGGGCACGCGCAGGGCGCCCCGGCTAGCAACTCCTCCGTGCAGGTCACCCTCGAGGGGAAGAAGATGACCTCGCTCGCCGTCGCCGACGCCGGCCGCCGACGCCTCAGCAGCCAGCCCAGCACCGCCTCGAACGCCGCGCCCAGCCCAACCGCCAGCACGACCCGCCACATCGTCTCCTCAGGCCGCGCGCGCCTGCGCCGCACGTTCGAATCTTCCCGCGTCGAGAGGCGCGCATGCGCGCTCCACGGAGGAAAAGAAGAGCGCATGCGCCACTTCTCACATTAAAGGATTTTTTTTTTTTTTGGCCACGCATGCGTTTTCCATCCTGGCCTTCTCTCTTGTGCCGCGTGAACTTCAACTCCCATCATTCCCAGACGGAATTTTGCTCTTCAGGCCTTGTGGGAGTTGGAGTCGTTATTGGAGGGACAGATTTAACCCCTCTTCTAACTGCTTTTTAACTTGGTTAAAAAAACAGCTTTAACTATGATTGGGAAGGAAAATGAGTGACAATCATAGAAGAAAGAGGCTGGGTTTCCTGCATATATATATATTTGGAATATATATATATTTGGAACTTTTAGTGGAAATATTTAAATTTGCAAAGCAACACTTTTTTGTGCTTCCTAGGATGTGTTAAATATTAAACACCATTTGATTAAAAAAAACAGATTTTTCTCTGGGAAGGGGGATTTTTATTATGTGCATTTTTACATACAGATTAAATAAAAATTCAACACAAATGCCATGAATTACACAATGAAGGAAAACTAAAACGTTTAAGAAATCTTTTTGAAAACGAGTAGCTATAAATATTTTGACATATTCACAGAAATAAACTCTTTATAAATTAGGATCTCTTATTAATCTTTCTCCCTTTTAAAAATTCCATATAAAGTATGTTCGGAATTACTTTTCTTGCCAGAAAAGTTTTATAAAGTTCATCAATAAGTAGCTGTGCAGTTAAAAATATAAAGAACTGAATCTCATGGTAACAAAGAAAAAACTAAACGTTGCATTATTGAAGTCCAAAAGTCTTAAAGTCACTAAGGCTGGACACCCCTGATGTAGGTAGTTTTGAGGCCAAGAGATCTTCCTTCATCCTTTGCTTTTCAGTCGGTCTACACAGTGTTGCCACAGAATATCTGAGCTCCTTCCACACAAAACGAGTGGATCGACAGAGTTCCCTAAGGGCAACCCAAGAGTTCTTCAGGCTAAGTCCGAGACTCCAGAGAAGTTGGACTGCGAACGGTGGACATCAAATGTGATTTGTAGGTCTTGCTCAAGCCCGTCATCCAGAACTTCAGAAGCTTCACGTTATCCTCTTCAGAAGCCCCCAAAATGCTCAGCAACTTCTGGGTATCTTCTTTCGGCCTGCTGTCCACCTTGGTGAACTTAAAGAGAACCTTCACTTTACTGCAGAAAGCAAAAAATAAAAATAAAAATTGAGAACCGTTAGCTGCAGACTACAACCCGCTCTTTCGAAAATGGAATTTCTGAAGATCACACAGCACACCTCCCTTCCTTCAAGGAAGCATATGCAAGAATGAACTCTAGAAGACAACTACTTCTCAACCAAAAAATCCACCTTACTTCATCCACTCCTCCTTCAGGCAAATGAGGCACTGGTCCACCACATCGACCGAGAGGTTCTGATTCATCAGAGCAGCTTCAATCTTGTTCAGGATGGTCGGACCAACTGCAGATGGGAAGAAGGACTTGAACATCATCCAGATTTTCTATTGTTATTTTTTAAATCAGCACTGCACAATTGAGACACCTGTCTACCTTTTTTCTTCTGCATTTCCAGCTAAGTAACAAAAGTATGTTCCTTTTCAAAAATTCGTGAAAACATTTGGTTGTGAACTACAGATTGGACAGTGTTGCGAGTACTCAAAATGGCTTAGACTTAACGCGCAAGGCTCACCTCTGTCTGCTGCCAGAGGGCTGCCGCTAGTAACCACAAACTCGTATTTACTGAGGGGCTGGTCTTCATCAAAGAGCACAGGGTAAAGGCTTGACCGCGTGGCTAGACGAACTTCCACCAGGACAGCGAACTCTGCAGCGAAAAACAGAATTTCTTCATAGCACCATCCCCAGATTTGGAGAAGCATCCCCCAGCCTGAATTTACGGTGTTTGCAGTGTCCCGGATTTATCTGATTGCCATTTGCAATCTTCCTAAGTGGATTCCGACAAGCAAAGTCAAGGGGGATTCATTTAATGATGGCAACGACGGCAGTGATTTACTTAACAGTCATGGTAGTAAAATCCAGCATGATTCACTTAACAATTGCCTTGCTTAATGATGGAAATTCTGGTTCCAACCGTGGTCGCAAGTCAAGGACTGTCTGTAGATTATGAACCATCGGTGTCCAAGACAAGCAAAGGGTTACCTATCTATTCTACCAGCCTGGGGAAGACAGAGAAAGACTCATTCTTACCAGAGGATAAAATGTGAGGAGGGATTTTCACTTGAGAGCCGAGACCCAAAAAGTTACACCGGTAAGCCTCCTCGTACTGGTTGCTATACGGGATGATTCGGACGCAGCCAACCGGAAGCATGGTCTAGCAAAGGAAAGAGAGGCGGGTGAGAATCCAATTGCCAGCACAGGTTTTGTGCAGAGAAAATGGTTTGCAAAGCGGCGACTAGCCAGCTTCCAACCAAGTAAGAACAAGAAAAACATTTAAAAATAATACATATTAATATTAAAACAGACTAAAGATCAAGGCAGCTAGAGATGCACGCAAGATATCCACACTATCTTGGAATGATAACAATAACATCGTTGTTATTATGGTTGCTACTTCTATATAAGACACTCAGTTTCTAGAGGCTTGGAACGGTTGGCTGCACTGATTAAAATTAAGACCAAAAACAATGCAATTCTAAACCGCCTGAGGCACCACCATGCAGGCTCACTGAGACAAGAACTTTGCATGCCCCACCCCCTATTATGACATCACAGCAGCCCAGCCAATCAGAAATCCACTAGAAGAGGACAGGACGGAGAGAGGTAATGTTGTGTTTCGTACCCGCAGGACATCAAAGGCGGAGTGGATGAGGTCTCGATCCTGTGCTTTCCAGATGACCTGGTTGCCCATGAGAACATGCCAGGCCAGCATGCGGAATGCCGATGACCCCAAAATCTGGGAAAAACACAACTAATAGTTTTTAAAAGCCTATTTTTTGCCTTCAATGTTACTTTACACCAGTGTTTCTCAAGCTTTAGCAACTTTAAGAGGTCTGAACTTCAACTCCTAGAATTCCCCAGCCAGCTATGTTTGAGAAACACCGCTTTGCACCAAGCTTCTCAAGTTCTGGAAGTATCTGCTTTTTTATTATTTTTTATGTTTGTTTATTTATCTTTCCTGTATTGCTGTGTATTTTGGCAGCCTTCTAAAACTGTCAAGGATGGGCAAAGGCCCCTCCTCTTCCAGTGATCCAACGGCCATTCCTTGCCTGTCTCAAATGCCGGAGGGAACGGAAGACAGACTGACTCCCGGCCGCCCCATTCCAGCTGCTGCAGTCTGCCAGAAGACCGAAATCAGCCTGGTTCTTTATTTGCCCAGAACCTTCTCGGACATCCTTCTCGCTGGTCGATTTTCCATCTTCTTCCTCCGAGTTGTCCCAGGCTTCTGACTCTTCCTCCAAATCTCAAGAGAGAAAAGAGTTTGAATGAAGGTTACTCAAGCTCCTCCCTGCACAAGGCAGGAAGGTGGCTTTTTACAAGCGAGAGCAGCCATTAAAAAAAACAACTGCCTTTACCAGCAAGTTTTTCCATCTGCACCAAGGTGTCCTCTGTTGGGGCCCCCTCCAGAAGCTTCTCCGTGAGTCTGCTGCCACAGGCCTTCAGCAGCCTAAAGATATTGGAAAGGGATGTAAGCCCACTTGATAGGAGAGCAGATCTTGGCCCTGTACCCGGATTTCCAAGTCAGAGATCCACCAAATATATTCACCAAGCAAAGGAAGTGTGGAGGCAAGCCCACAGGTTCTCATCGTTGGTGAGTGAAGTGAGCGAGCGAGCCGCGTTCCCATTCCGCTGATGCAGAAACGGGGTGAAGGCCGTGTTCATGCGTTGGGCACGCTGTGGACATCCGTATTGCTCAGCTTCAAAGACCTAAGTAACCAAGTAGCCACCATGAAAAAAAAAAAAAGTTGAAAAGACAAAGGTGTTTAAAAAAACCAGCTATGCCAAAATTTATCATTAGCCAAGAAAGCAGCAAGACCTTAAAAAGAAATCTTGAAAACTAGACAATGAGTGCAGAGAAGAACAACAAAGATGTGATTAGAGGCCTGGGGACTAAATTATTCAATGAATGGTTGTGGGAACTGGGTAAAAGGTAAAGGATCCCCTCGCACATATGTGCTAGTTGTTCCTGACTCTAGGGGGCGGTGCTCATCTCCGTTTCAAAGCCGAAGAGCCAGCGCTGTCCAAAGACATCTCTGTGGTCATGTGGCCGGCATGACTCAACGCCAAAGGCGCACCAAACGCTGTTACCTTCCCACCAAAGGTGGTCCCTATTTTTCTACTTGCATTTTTTACATGCTTTCGAACTGCTAGGTTGGCAGAAGCTGGGACAAGTCACGGGAGCTTTACCCCGTTACGCGGCACTAGGGATTCGAACCGCTGAACTGCCGACCTTTCAATCGACAAACAACCTAGAACTAAGAAATTTTGTGACAGTGAGAACAATTAACCAGTGGAACGACTTATCTTCAGAAGTTGTGGATGCTCCATCACTGGAGGTTTTCAAGAAGAGATTGGACAGTCATTCGTCCAGAATGGTATAAAGATTCCTGAGTTGGGCTGGGGTTGGACTAGACGACCTCCAAGGTCCCTTCCTGCCCTATGATTCTCAAACGTCTTTAATTTCCCTCCCAGCCTGCTGCCCAGACCTTCAGAGCTTTGCCTTGCAGCTCGTCCACGATGCCCCGGATCTTCCCCAGGAGGAAAGGCCACGAGTTGATGAGGTAGATACGGTCCATCATAATGGTGATGATGCTGTACCAGCGCTGGAAGCCCCGAGCCAGGCTGTCCTTGATGAAGAAGGTGTGGCTGAAGACGAAACCGTGCTGCTCGTCGCCGAAAAAGATGGGACCCTCCCGTCCGGGACAAACCTTTGCAGAGAAAAAGAGCCAGACCTCCTCAAAGCCATCGGCGGGCACCAGAAAGTCTTACGCACAGTCTGTCTGTGACCCTCCCCCCCCAAAAA